TTTGATGTGTTTGAGCGGTGTCTTCCTCCTATTCCCACTTTTTAACATGACAGAATGTTTTAAGATCAATCATAATGTTAATCTATTTATCCGTAAAGTTATATCTTAAATGTCTTATATGTACCTAAATACAATCGAATTGTTGAAAGAAAAAAATAAAAGATTAATTTGAATGTACCAGATCTGATTGATTTTCAAAAAAATATTAAAATGAATGAATACATTTGTTGTTAATGAACAAGTGTACTAAATATCAAATTCATGTAACCATGACTTCATGGAAAACTATAGTAAACCAAATTTTTTACCTAAACATTACTGAATTCTTGCTATCACAGGTACATGTTTAATACACCGCGAAATCATGATCAAAATCCTAATTTCGCATATATTTCTGAAACTTCACTTCATAATAAACATGTTGGCGCCTTCAAACATGTTTAACCCAACCACATTCTGTATGTGCCTGTCCAAAGTCAGGAGCCTGTAATTTAGTGGTTGTCGTTTTTTGCTGTTTCTCATATTTTTTTTTCGTTTGGTGTTTTGCATAGTATGCCTTTACACCACTGTCCCAGGTTAGGGAAGGGTTGGCGCATTCAAACATGTTCAACCCGCCACATTTAGTATGTGCCTGTCCTAAGTGGAGCCTTATCTTGAGTGGTTGTCGTTTTTTTGCTGTTTTTCATATTTTGTTTCGCAAAGTTTCTTCGTGTGTTGTGCCGATACAACACTACCCCAGGCTAGGGGGATGGTTGGCGCCTTCAAACATGTTTAACCTCGCAACATTCTTTATGTGCCTGTCCCAAGTCAGGAGCCTGTAGCTCAGGGGTTGTCGTGTGCTCTTGTCTGTCATATTTGGTTTTTGTAAATTGTTTTGTTATAACTTAGGCCGTTAGATTTCTAAATGGATTCTTTTCATATTTATCATGTTGGGACTTTTTATAACCGGTATGGGTTTCTTCGTTGTTGAAGGCCGTATACGGTTGCCTATAATTGCTTACATCCACTTCAATTGAACTCTGGTGGATAGTTGTCTCGTTGGCAATCATACCTCATCTCCTTATTTTTATTTATGTGTACTACTAGTAAGTTACGATTAATTTTACCCCCAATTAAACGGTAAACTACCTTATAACAAAATAAACCTGACATGGGACGGACGGACGGTCGCACGAACCAGAAAACACATTATCGCACCTATCGTTAGTAGAGTACAATTCAAGTAACAATCTACCCAAACGAAAAATATGAAATAAAAATTAATTTTTATATTTTCACGAATTGATTACAAAAAAAAATAAAATAAAAGAATACGAAACCAATACGATCTAACGACCGAGTTGAAATAAAGTATACAAAATTGTCATCGAATGTCTAATATGTATCTACAAAATATGTTTTTCATTTTAATTAATTATATTTCTTCACATTTTCGTATCGCAGTGGCGTAGCACAGTGTAGAATTGTAAGCATGTGCTTACAAATAATTTTATAAAACATTGGTTTTTTTTATAAGAATTTTATTATAATCTTTCAGCTTCTGGAACAACCCACTGCTTACAAGTTATTTTCGAGTGGCTACGTCACTGTATTAAAAATGTGAGTAGCATCCCAAAATACAAAACTCGTACATAAATTTTGAATGTATGAATAATATGAACAAACCCAAGCGGGTAATCACACGAATGCGTTACGGAGCGAGCTCGGGTGTACCGGCAGAGAGTGTCTCCATGCATCACTGACATGATAAGGAATCGATACTAATCGGTAAATTTACAGATCATGCGACTAAATGTAGTCTGGTGTCTAAATATCTAAGACCACAAAAACATGTCTCACTTGAGTTGAGACACAGACTCATCGTTCCAGTATACCAATTGTGACGGTGATCATAAAACTTTTTATTAAATTGTGTAGTTTTCCATAACCCTGGCGAAAGAGAATTTTGCGTTAAAAGCACATTCCTTTTAATGAAGTCTGTATTATGTTAACATTCACACGCGTAACATAGCAACCGAGAAACAATTAATGTTGCCCCCCCCCCCCCCCCCCCCCCCCTTGAAAACATGTAAATGTCACCGTGACGCTCATAAGATTTATTCATTAGTCAAATTACATACGTATTTGTGGATAAAAATTTTTGTACAGTTATCACTTGACTATATAGGATTCCGTGCCGCTCTGAAATTTGTTTCATCTTTTTTTCACATAGACACTTTAATATTGATCCGATGTGCTTCTTTTATGTTCAAACTATTCTCAGAACTATAAAATCACCAATTTCACCGACCCATGTTTCAGCAGGCCTGAACCTATAAGTCTTTGGAACATTAAAATGTAAATTCCCTATACACTTTCAACAAAATCACAGTAATCCCTGTTCGAAGCCTATGTCCAGAGCGATTTTCTGATTTTGGCCGCTCTTATGCAGAATCTATAACTCTATTCCGGAAGACCAGTAACCAACTACTTCACCTAGAACAGATTCCTTCTACCGCCGCAGCACCATTCCATACACCTTAAGAAGGTAAAAACTAAACAGAAGACGCATTTGCCTATCAGAAACCGTTAACATTTTGAAGCAAACCCTTATCGTTAATTATCGGTAGTTTCACTAGTCCCATATTTTTTTGAGCAGATGTCCAAAGAACTAGATGCCAAATCGGTGTGGCCTAATTATCTGAATTCAAGTGAACCAACGGAAAAAGGGGGAACAAGTTTTAAGAAGTCAATAGTATATAAGTCCAAAAATTGGGACGGAAAACAGATTTTAACATGAAACGATAAACAATTCTGGATTACGGTAAGGCATTGGCGGTTTATATACGCAATTTTAACATACAGGCGAATAAGACGTACAGAGCAACATAGTTTAAAGTCTAGGTAAATTATATAATTATTATATTATCGTAAATAAAATTGGCAACATAAACATGAACCTTCCTTCGAATAATAATAGCAAGAATGATCATAATATCCTGTTTATAGGTTTAATGCAAACAGTATAACTTGGAACCCTTCAAACAGGGAATCTTTGTTTCCGTAGACTTTAACGGACTAGCATGTATCTGAAAGGAACCAATGAATTATACATGTACAAGTAGATTACTAAAAAATCCGTCAAACATTAATTTGAATTTGTTTTCTTGTTATCTCTCTTTCTTACTTGGTTTCATTTTCAGTTTTATTTAAAACATGATTTTTGCCTTGAATCGAGCGATAGTTTGTTCAAGGCATTGCACAAGAAAAACTGAAGAAACTTTTAAATATTTATAGTTTTATATGAATTACACGTCGATACGTGTAGTTATAAATTATATTGCCCAAGTTGCCGTGCAAAGGGAGATAACAAAAACATTGTTTAAGTTTTTTATTTGTGCTGAGAGCTCGAGGATAAGAGTTATACTTGAATTAGACAGCCGCGAACTGACGACAAATATCCAAAAGACGAGAAACATACAGTCTTCAAAAACAGATAAATATGTCTATACAAAAGTTGAGAGGAAATGAAACATAAACAATCAGAGATATGCCATCAAAACCAAAAAACACAAAAAACACATAAAAGATATCACATTAGACAACTATTGACATGGTTCTTGACTTTGCATCAGGTAAGCGAACATGTGACGGGGTCAAACAAATCCTAGATGTTTTGTTAGATTTCACCCCCCCCCCCCCCCCCCTTTTTTTATTCTCGATCAGTAGATTAATAAAACGCATACAAAAGACCATACAATAAAAATTGGTAGAGAAAAACACTTACTAGTAACTCTTAAATATCGATACACTGTGACTAGATAACAAATTTATCGTATTAAAGAATACTCGCAGTTACTGAAAGCAAGCTCAAAGTACGTAATCTGTTTGGTTAGAAATTATGCCGTCATACAATTAATATCGGTTGCTGTACTCCATAGGTTTCATTCAGACACGTCAGAAAACAGTACAGGAATACCTGATACTGTCCAATACCTAGCACATATATTATACAGAAAAACTAAAGGGACATTTTAATATTGGTTCATAATATCAATAAGTGAATGTATGTTTATCTAACAAATCCAAGAGTCAAATCATAATCTTTATTAATAAGTCTTAAAAAACATGGAAGTATTATATTGCCTTAATGTATAAACCAGGGGGATTTGAATTTCTTAATCTGTATATATGCGAAATACCACTATTTATTAAATTCCTGCTTGTGGAATCACAGTACTTCCACAGTAAATCTCTATAGTTGTAATATTTAGTAAAGATTTGACTACTTTCTTGCTGTAGAGGTTTTGAAGTAATGACAATATTAATTGCATTGAAATCCGAGACGTCACTGCAAACACGTGCATATCGAACCAATTGACAAACATACACATATCATTGGGAGTCAACGAGAATTACCATCATGGGAAAAATTAAATAACAGGAAAGGAAAATTGGACGTGTATAAAAAAAATGGAATGGATATAACTATGTAATATCAAAGTCTAAATAGGGACTTCGGTCATTATCAAGGTCTGATATTGTGTCAATGAGAGCAGGTGGATGAATTTCATTTATTTCTATATTTGAATAATAATTTGGGTTGTTTACAGAGAATATATATTCTAAATAATTTCTTTTATTGTTGAAAAAATTAGCTATCAAGTGGTGTTTTATTGGGGTCGTAATGACGGTTTGCCATGTATTGTTGATAAAAATGACATTATTTATTGGTTTATTTTCTTCTCTCTTAAGTTATCTGCTGTATGAACAATGATTTTCACCAATTCATGCGCAGTCCTCCTATTTAAAGGGACATAACTCTTAAAATCACTTAAACGTTTGTGGTAATCATTTTCATAAAATATATTTTAAGCTTCTAAGTAACACAGATTACACGTATTCTGTATCACATAAAATTTATGCTTAAAAAAGCATTGATAAAACTGACTGTTACAAATGCTTTACCGATAGCTCCCTTAACTCAGCTAGGTCTTCCAACTAATTAAATAAAACAAAAATTATATGTCACTTTTTTTATTATAAAATATGTATTCATATACTAGTATGAGATAAGCGTACTAAGGCACAGTACACAATATCACCTTATTTATAATAGTACAATATGTCTTATAAATTTGACAATAAAGGAACCGACTGTTTCCTTTTCACCTCAGTATAATGTTAGGGTAACAGATCAAATAAAAACTTAACTATCATCTTAAATTTTTTTAAACTAGTTCAAGGCATTGTGTCACCAGTCAGACTGGTTATAACTATGCAATCCTAAAAGTAAAAAAAGTGTGCAAATCTCGTACATCATTACTTGGGAATAGACTAAAACCTTGTATCTTCAGAAAAAGTTTTTCAGTTAAAATTGTTGTAAAAGCTACTACTTTCAACCATAATTCATTTGTTTTCAATTTTCCTCAAGATTTTAATTATTTTTTAAGGTTTGGTTTTGTAATTCTACAATTAGGTCATTGTCCTGTTTTTTGTTTTTTTTATATTGTCACAATTTATGTTGTTGCTAAGAGTCGTTGTTAAGTGTTTCTAAGTATAACGTCTAATCAAAGTGGAGTTTTACATGTCATGATTTGAGTAACAGTAGAAGAAGGAATATATAACCTTTACGTACCAGTATTTATTCTATATATAGTATATTATACATGTATATGGAGTGTGCTTCATAGTGATACAGTGTATGTTTCTTTCCTTTAATCATATAAATAAAAGGAGATGTGGGGAATAGGCCAATGAGAAAGAAATCAAACGCCACAAATAACCAATAGAAATTTGTTTAAGAAATTGATTTAGTAGAAGTAAAATCCAAGTGACATATGCCAGCCAATCATACATATATTCCTTAATCAACGACACAAGGTTGACCCGTAGTATATGATAACAGGGGAAAAAAATGATACGAAAATATTAACCTTTGCTGCACAAAACATGAGTCCACCTCTTCAAAACATTTTGCAAATCGTGCGAAATACATGTAGAATTTACAAATACAATTGTGTTGATTTGTAAACCAAATCCAAAAAAACAAACAATTTATCACTAAATTATAAAAATAAAGTCAAATATCTTAGTCAACTCTCGCGATACGATAGTAACATATATAATAATGCATATTCAATTCTACGTATACAACATATTGATGACAATAAGGTTAATGGCTAACGTGTCTAATATAAAATCCTAAAACAAAACAAAAAGTTTACTCCCACGACTGTTGATAAAAGTTTACTCCCGCGACTGTTGATAAAAGTTTACTCCCGCGACTGTTGATAAAAGTTTACTCCCACGACTGTTGATAAAAGTTTACTCCCACGACTGTTGATAAAAGTTTACTTCCACGACTGTTGATAAAGGTTTACTTCCACGACTGTTGATAAAAGTTTACTCCCACGACTGTTGATAAAAGTTTACTCCCACGACTGTTGATAAAAGTTTACTTCCACGACTGTTGATAAAAGTTTACTTCCACGACTGTTGATAAAAGTTTACTCCCACGACTGTTGATAAAAGTTTACTTCCACGACTGTTGATAAAAGTTTACTTCCACGACTGTTGATAAAAGTTTACTCCCACGACTGTTGATAAAAGTTTACTCCCACGACTGTTGATAAAAGTACATTCAATACTAAAGTCAGTTGAAAGCATAAAAACGCCCAAAATTTAAAAGAAAAGTTCAACGCTAGATTTTAACCCTCCTGTAACATTATATGATGCTCGAGATACATTGTCCCTCACAAACAAACAGTAAGTAAGCGGCATTGAAACTCTTGTGTCTAGTGAAAAACAGATCGACTTTTTGCTGGTAATTTCTCTGGTATACTGAAGCGTATATTAAGTTTGGATTTATTCATCCGCGTATGATAAAGTTCATCAAATATTTCGTTCTGGGTCACAGTAAACATGGATTTCCAATCTCCAACAATTCCTGAAATATATTAAAACTTATAGCGGACATAAAGTACAATTAGATTCAACGGCGTATTAAAGCTTTAATATAGTTCCTGAATTCCTTTATAACTCATATATGAATCAAGTGTATAGTTCCATTTTAAAAATCCACAAAATATAACTAAATAATTCCACAAAAGTGTCATCTTTTCACAATACAATTTTGATGTTGATCTCAGATCTATGGAAGTGTCTATCAAAATTATGATATGCTTGTCTAGGTTCGTTACGATTTATAGCTTGACACAAGTTCAAACACGTGTTTGATTTTAATGTTTTCGTTAAAGTTTTAAACATACAATTCCCCTGGTGAGAGATTATTATATTTCAGCGATTTCACTAACAGGGATATACATGTATATGTAAGTCAAAAACTACTCGGACCAGCGACAGCATGAGGACCACTAAATTCTAAAAAGATCACTTGACGAGTTCAACATACTCCGCTCGTGGCAAAGTGCGTTAACTCCGATCTAAATTGACCAGGATTGCAAGGTTTCTTGCTAAAGGTCAGTGGTTTTCTCCGGGCTCTCCAGCTTCCTCCGTCAATGAAAAGTGGCAGCCATGATATCTCTAAGCGCACTTAAACTTGCGTTAAACAATAACAGTCAATCAATCTCTAAGCGCACTTAAACTTGCGTTAAACAAAAACAGTCAATCAATCTCTAAGCGCACTTAAACTTGCGTTAAACAAAAATAATCAATCAATCAATCACAAATTCAACAAAAGTGCCATTATAAACTAGTTGATCGGTATTGTATATCAATTTCGTAATTCAGTTGTGTTATTTGAACTCTGGAAAAGATCTCAAAAGTACCATACAATGTATACAAAATCATAACAGGAATTACCAAGAACATTGGTCCTTACAGCATTCTACATCAACAACAGATTCCTCCGTTAAAAAAGACTTACAAAAAAAGACAACCAACAACGACCAACAAACGGTCAAGATAGCCTTACTGGTTTTAGACTGACAATATTGTGAGGTTAAAACAGTCTCACGTGCACACCTCCCCTTTGCCTAAATTATGCCAATCTAGCATTACAGTACTGCAGGTTTTGTCGTGTGTCTGGATTTGCCACTTACTACATGAAGTGATACGGATGATGTTTGCATTACAAGATATGTTAACCCTATCGATGTTATCTAGTCTCGCTCCGAATTGAATTGATGCGACCACAATTTCTGCCATATACATCAATATTGATCTATTTAAACATCGGTATTATACTGCTTTATATTGAATTATTTAGAGTTGTATGTGGAAGCCATATCTTCTATGGTCTCTGTGACGTTAATTCATGATGTGTCTTCACTCGAGACAATTCAGTTCTTGACACCTATATCTCCTTTAAAATTCTAAATGATTTTTAGACGTCTTTTTATTGATTTGCTTGTGTTGTTAGGTTGCCGCCTCATAGATGTTTTCCTTACATTTTTAATCATGTTTGTAATATTAAAACGAGATTAATCAAGAAACGAAACAGGTATCGTTCCAGCCTTAAATATTATACAAATGATCGAAGAGATATAGAATATATTGTCTATATTTTAAGGGAAATACAGTATCGAAATAATCTGGATGTATGAAGCGGTTGTCGTTTGTCGCTTTATGTCATTGTTTTGTTATATTGGAAGGCTTTGATAGCTTGCTATTCGGTATGGATTTTGCTCATTGTTGAAGGCCGTACGGCGATCTATAACAGTAGCTAACATCTACGTCATTTGGTCTCTGTCTCGTTGGCAATCATACCACATCTTCTTATTTTATATGGATGTATTGTTTGGTTAAGAGTTAGTTGAATTGTAATGATGACATTTTATTGATATATTATCAAAGTTCAACAGACAATACCATGGCATAAATAAGAAAAGACCAACAATCTTCAGAAAACTTAACATGACAAAAAGAACAATAAGAAGTAAAGACCAACAATCTACAGAAAACTTAACATGACAAAAAGAACAATAAGAAGTAAAGACCAACAATCTACAGAAAACTTAACATGACAAAAAGAACAATAAGAAGAAAAGGCCAACAATCTTCAGAAATTTAAAGATTGAGCAATACCAAAAATACGGGGTTGAACTCAGATGCTCCGGGGGTGGGGGGTCAACAGTTACACCTGAATTAATGAGTCGCACCGTCATGTTGCATATATCTTATTCTTACCTTTCCGATATACACCAGCGCTGTCTTCTTTCCAATAAAACTCGCCAGTAGAAGCTTTCTCATTTCTCATTTTATCTATCGTACAAAGGGAGGCAATACTGTTGATAAAATCTAATGTACTGTGAGTACATACTTCAAGAAAATTGGCCAGTTTGAATATTTCAGCATGGATATTCTGCAAAACAAAACTCATATTAACTTTAATAAAAGTCTTTCGTTTCTGCAGTCTTAGATCTTAACGCCAGCCTTCTGATTCACGGTATATTTACTCGTTCCCTATTGTTACATTTCTTACTTCCGTTGGGTTTTTTTAATGACCATCCGTCTGTTTTCCTCGAATTATTGTCAACACCGAGGTTGTGAGTCCGAACCCCGCACGTAGCAAGTGCATTCGACTCCAATCTTAATTGACTAGGATTGTCAGTTATCCTGCCGAAGATCGATCATGGTTTTTACCGGCTTCCTCCGCCAATGAAAACTGACCGCCACCAAATAACCAATGGTGCTGAAAGTGGCGTTTAACACCAATCAATCAATTAATCGATCGACTTATTGCTTTTGACCGTCCCCTTACATGTACCCTTCGACTCTTTCTATTTTAAAACATGATATATAATAGTAATAAAAGTTAATTTAGAAGATTAAAACTGATTAGGTTGTAATCGTTCATGTATTGTTAATCGACTTTAAAGACCTTCGTAAGAGTTAAAAAGCAAAACGCGTCACTTCCCTTCAAATAGTAACGCGTAACTCTTTGCCGAAACAATAATACAAACAATTTGCTTAATATCTCGAGTACCATTTTTTTTATTCGAAAGCCACTCATTTAAGTAAAAGAAGAATGATTTCATACTAACCTCAACCATGTCCTCGTAATACATGATATGAATTGGATAATCTGGGTTGTCAATTATTGTCTTCTCCCAATCATTTGTATAGTCAAACCAGGAGTTGTAGTCAACTTTAAGTATATACGAAAATTGTTTACTATATTAGAAATATGACTATGACATTTGTATATCTACTAGATATACATTCTAGACAAAAAAAGGTTTTCATCATGTAAATCGTTGCACCAGAATCCGATTTTTTTACTGATGATGATTGATATTTTTATTTTATATATCTTAGCCCTTTTTATACGAGTAGTATTATCACGGGTAGTAACCTCGTCATATCGAAAAGCGTTTAGTACAGTGATTTTTTCATAGTTTGGTTAAGATGAACATGGTTGTGTTAAGTGTTTTTGATGACAAACAGTGTCAAAATATAAACATTCGAATAGTTTGTTAAAGGAACTAATGACAACAAATTCAAGCTGGTAAGTATCTTTGTTTATAGCTAATATGTTAGTACATCAAAATTTGTATCATATAGTTATTAATTTGACACAGAATAATGCTTGCGTATGTCAAAATTTAAAAGTTGTGATTCGTTTCTAATGCATAAAGAAAAGTGGTTTACTTACTGTCTGCTACATCACATATTTTGTTATGATATAAAACTGCCGTCAATTTTCCAGAAAAACAGCCCCTAGTGCACACAATTTGAGATTACAGAATATTCGGTGTCATGGTTTGGTTCATTCGTGTCATGGTTTATTTCATGTTGAACATGGTTCAGTTATGTCATTCTATTCGTGAATGAAGGAAGAGTAACGATCAAAATAAACAGACATTATATATATTGAAATACTCTTTTTTAAATCGTTTTATTTGGAATACAAAAGGACATATATACGCACATTCAATGTAGTATTATATATATTAAGTACATGCAATCTGACTGCCAATGAGATAACTATCCACAGGAGACCAAAATGACGTAGATGTAAGCAACTATATGTCGTCGTACGGCCTTCAACAATGAACATAAAAGGCTCCGACCAAATTATATGTAAACAAAATTTAAATGAGAAAAGCAATGTATTATACAATATTACAAAAATATAATCATTTTTATTCGTTCTTAATAATAATTGATAAAAGTTGACATTAAATCGGCTTCATTCTAATTCGGAATTGTGATTTTTCATATATCTAAATTCTGAACTTGTGTGTATTTTTTTTCATTTTAATTTTACTAATAGTTTTTACAAATTTTACAAGTGATGCCGCTCACGATATCATCGACAGAGTCAATCATGGACATACGGAGAAAATAATCTATGTGAAACAGAAGCAGCTCTTTCTGTTTTTGTAATTATTATCTCAAAAGTAAGTTTAAAAGAGCAGTGACTATTTGAATTATAAAAGCAAAATAACAAAAATACGGGACTTTGAAGAACGGAAAGTCCCTAATCAAATGGCAAAACCAAAAACTGAAACACATCAATCGAATGGATAACAACTGTCATATTCCTGACTTGGTACATACATTTTTTTCTGTAGAAAATGGTGGATTAAACCTGGTTTTATAGCCAGCTTAACCTCTCACATGTATGACAGTCGCATAAAATTCCATTATATTGACGACGATGTGTGAACAAAACAAACAGACATAATAGGCAAAAATGTCAAAAAATAAGGGTACAGCAGGCAACATTGTGTTATAATCTTAGTCACTATAAAAACAAAACAAATATTTCAACAAAGAAAAACAAAAAGGCATATAGACAAAGCACATAAGCAATAACGAAAGACGAGAATACAAAAATTTACCATAGCACAATAACACAATGGCGGGATGTATAAGTACCGAGCCACGTCAAATGGATTGGGCCAAAAATAGACTAAACAGTTAAATAAGTAATAATTTACAAAGACACATAAAAGAGTACCATAACACGGCATTAAGGTGACAAACAATGTCAGTACTTAGAATGTTTACTTAAAGACCATCGTTTATTATTTGTGAAGTTGAAAGGGAATATTTACCCACAAGGTCTTCCGATGAACTTTTTTTGGAAAAAGGACGAGACGTTCTTTAACATATATGTACCACTGGTTCATCAACTTTCTGCTTAGACACTGGTGACGGTTTACAAAGTCTAAGTAGTATCTGCAAGCTCTTGAATAACGAATGAGTTGGGAAATGTATATCCCATATGCAGGAGAAGTTGGTATATTGCTACTAAGGTTGGAGAAACTGATAATTTTAAAATTAGAATCGTTTTGTTTGTCATTGATTCTGGTACTAAGATGATCGTTCATGTCAAATTCGAGGTATAAGTCTAAAAATGAGGCAGAGGAAGCCGTGTCTGTTGTTCCTTTAATTTCTAGTTCTTGGGGATATATTAATGGAATTCAATTAGAAAAGTCTGCATTGTAAATGGAAAGAACAATATATATGAATGTGAAATTAAATAATCTGGCTTCTTTGATCTTCTTGTTATTCACAAATGTCTGAAGGAACTCCGACTAATAGGAAGATAAGAAGAGGTCGCTGCCGCACAGTATAGAAATACCTACAATTTGGTGACAAAGTCTACCTCCAAATTCAACAAATAAGTTGTCAATAAGAAACTCCAGCGTACTGGTCACTTGTTCCTCTGTGTAGCATGTTTTATTTTTTTATTCACTATTAACAAAATATGCCGCATGGTATCCAAAAGTAATAAATGTATAGCGTGCACTACCATTTTTATGTTGAAAAGCATTGTAGATTTAAATTATTTCTTTTAGACGATTTTTCAATGACACTTACGGAATGGTGGTACACAGGGTTGAAAAATTAAACATTTTGATAGAACTAATTTCAGAGAAATATCGAGATTTACATTTATTCAGAAGTTCTTTAAGAGTTTTTTTTTTAAATCCATATATGGTTAATACCACTACGCGAGTAAACAGTTTCATGGTATTTCTGAAAACCCTCTTTCATTGAGGAAAGAATCTTTGTCAATCTAATGGACAATTCTTTCGTCGAACATGCAAATGAGCTGGCAATGTACGGCCGTTTGTATGGAATTTTGTGAAGCTTAGGTATCTAATACAAACAAGGTAAGTCCTCCGATTTGCTGCTCAAAGTAATGTTCATTGAAGCTATTAAGGACTTATGAATCACCAAAATCTCATCCTTGTCAAATGATGTTTTTGTATGTGGGATTACATGAGTGCTCATTTATTCCTAATTCTTTTACAAGACACTCGAAGTAGTACGATTTGCATACACAGACAAGTCACGAACAGTTAGATTGCTTAATGTACGCTTTGCCAATAACAGCATCGAATTTTGGTTTTAAAGGCCATTTTTCTTCTTAATCAGTTGGTAAATTGTGTAACTTCGTTTAATTACAAGCGTTTTCAAACAAACTATCAATATTGAGCTGAAACACATACATATTAATTTGGATCTAAACCATGACAAACTTGATCAAAACCATGACGAATTTCTTGACACTTAACCAAACCGTGTCATAGCTTAACCAACCCATAGCAATTTCGATAGTTTGCTTATTCTGAGTTAGTTTCTTGAAAACAACAATTCCAATGTAGATCGTTTGACTAACAATGCAAATTAAAACATCTTATTTGCTTTTTATTTGCTCGTTTGAATAGAACTGAGGCAATCGTCCGGGGAAGTAACTTAACACAACCATGTTCATCTTAACCAAACTATGACAAAATCACTGTACTAAACGCTTCTCGATATGACGAGGTTACTACCCGTGATTATATTAACAGTTAAATCAGATGATTAACAATTATAATGGAGTGTTCCATTGGCAAACATACCACTTCTTATTTGATATTATCATAAAGACATAGCAATTGATCAAAAGAAACAACCAAATTAAAAGCACGTTTTTTCAATAAAAAATTATATATATATATATATATATATTACCAACATTCGACTCTGATCTGTGTAAGTTGGTATTTGGAATGTGTATACGTTTCATAATATTTGGTTGAGTCAAAGTAAAGTTAGAGTGCGGAAACAGAAAATTCAGCATTTTTTCCCCCATTTATGAATTGACAGAACTCGAGAACGGTGAAAGTGACGCCATCCAAATTAAAACTTGATATGTGTTTAGTGGTAATAAACATCGCGTATACGTTTGGTTGAGGCAAACTTAATCAGAGCACGGAAATAAATTTCGGGACGTACGGACGGACAAGGGTAAGACTTAATACCCCTGTCGACTAGCGGCGGGGGCATAACATATACATTTTTTTTATCTTGGCAACTGAATTCATACGAGATATAAATTTCCAGCATTAAAGTCTCGATAATGCTTTTATTAATAGAAATTGAAAACAGAACTTACCATCTCCTTTCATAAAACGTGGAAGGTATGATTCCCAATTTCCGTCAAATTCGTAGGGTTTTAGTCCAAAATGATGATGAAAGAATGATACGGCAACATCCTTAGGATTCCGAATGATATGAACGATTTTACATTTCCTGTTTCTAAAGTCAATCGGAAGTTGTGAAAATAACGAATGTGTGTTGAGAACTCGCGGAGATGGCATGCTATTAAACTGTTCCTGACTAATGCAGTCAAGCATACCACTTTGTTTACACGTTTCTACACGTTCTGCCTTTTGGGAGAGCAGCATACTGAGGATTTCAAAAGACCAGTGATTGCCTGAAATGGGAAGTAAAAAGGTTTTATGAAATATAAAATTCAATATATCTTGTGTGTCTCGCGACTGATTTCTTACAAAGGGTTTTTTCTAACCTAACAAAATCCCAGAAATACAACCAGAGATGCCAAATTTTACGGTAGCATTGTCTTTAGTTACCCACTTCAAAAGACTTAAACTTACAGTTTCCAACAAACATTTCTAACTATATGTTCAAAGTGTCCCGACTTTGTTGTTTTTATGGAAACGAATGAAGTCAGATCAGATATATAGATATAACAGTGGCACGCTTTTGTTTTTGTATGACTTCTGAAATATTTGTTCTTCCTAGTTATATATGTTATATATAAAATGTAACAGCTTAAATTAATGCTAACTTTTTTCTTTTAAAATTACTTTTTGAGAAAATGGGAATACAATAATACTTGCTACATCGGTATTATAACGAATACACTTTTAATTAAGCAACATGACAAATATATAGTTTCATCACTCTTTGTTCGATGGAACAAAAATACTTTTATATTTGATACTGAAAAAATACGGAATATTTAGTTGATGCACGAGACAAAACCCCATACATAGAACATAGAACAGGACATCAAAGGAATATAGCTTTTATTACGGTTATTCGTTTTGATAGAACCTCGGGTTGCCGTTGACCTGTGCATCGACATACAATGTATATGGATACGTATATGTCAATTGATCTTTAGATTGACCTCAAGATGCTTATTGGTTTTGTTGTGGGTTATATTGTTGTTGTTTTATTGGTGTATACAAATTGCGTCTTCTTTCATAAACAAACAGGATGTGTGTAATCGAACGCTGGCAATAACTGATTTTTGAAATAATTATCATTTTTTATTTTGTTGTATTTACATATTGTTTGATGACTTGATTTTTCCATGATTAAAAATATTTTACCAGATTTTGGATATACACAAATCATTACGTCATCATCTCTAGCTTTCCAATTCGGTATCGATCGAAACTCCTCTTCATGGTTCTCTAGACTGTTCCATGGAAAGGTATAGGCACCGTCTATATCTCTCACCTTTAATTTGTCTCCGCTCTCGCCTTTTAAATATGTCAATGGCATCTGAAAATGCATTAATGTAAAAACTTCTTTATTAAGTTTTTAACAGTTGTAACCTCACCCTGCACATAAAACATTATAACATTTCACAAACATATGGATTTTAAAATTTGTGATTGACACATACAAAAGCATCTACAATTGTTGAACCCCGCCTCATTTTGTATGTGCCTGCCCCAAGTCAGGAGCATGTAATTTAGTGGTTGTCGTTGGTTCATGTCTGCCATATTTGTTTTTCGTAAATTGTATTGTTATAAACTAACTAGGCCGTTAGTTTTCTCGTTTGAATTGTTTCACATTTTTCATGTCGGGGCCTTTTTTTTTGCTGACAATACGGTATGGGTTTATTTCATTGTTGAAGGCCTTATGTTGACCTATAATTGATTATACCGTCATCATTGTACCTCTGGTTGATTGTTGTCTTATTAGGAAACATACCAAATCACCTTATTTGTATATGTATATATGCTCTGATTTGAAAATATTCCCATCCACCTACTTATATACAATCTGCATGTGTTTTATTTAATTTCCTGCTATATAAAGTGTAGCACAATATAATAATTAACATTTTTTCATTTGTATGACATGCAAACATTTTTAAGCATAATACACAGTTGGAAAAATAACTCATCATGGTCATAGATGCATGTACCAGACTTTAAATTTTGTACGTCAGACCAGCATTTCGTCTACCTGGGGCTTTTAAGCATGATTACTATTATTAAAAAAGATTTTAGTTTTACATAGGCATTGTTCTCTTAAATGGGCTGCCCATGGGGTATTTTTTCAGCAAGTGTTCATATTCTTCAAAACGATACTTTAGAGTAGTTCTCCACTATAAAAGGAGGAACATAAAAGAAACTGAATTGAACTACTACGACGCATTAGATGCTCCTAAACGTAAAAAAAAACAAAAACAAGGTCCTTCAAATTGTGTTTGTGGCCAGATAGTATCACATCACTAATGGTGACTAGGGAATAAAAATATGGTCCCTTTGGTCTTTTTCCGACCGGAAATAAAACCCTTCCCAAAGTGGGGCGTCAGTTTGGCTGTTTGGGATGTACAAGTACGCAGCCACGTCCGGTTAGAATGGGGACGTTAAATCCGATGCCTCGTATGTAAAGAGAGTGCCAAGCTCTCCGCACGTTCAGAATCCTTGCAAAAACTCTTTGAAGGGTCCGTAGGTGGCCTGTTGCAAGGCTAAATGTCTATCCGTATTCAATTTACCCTCATTTTCCAGTGACAATCCAAATTTCCCCGACCTGGCATCATTCCGGACATTCATCTATATTACGGGATCTCCCTATCTCGTGCTATCAATATGATGTATAAATGGGTTTTTTTTAATTAGAAATGATAAAATATTCAACTCTACTTTTCGCCGACGTTTATCCGATAGGTCGTAATCAAATATATTTTTTTGCTCTATTTGAGCATAAAATCTGATAAAAATTTCAGTACTTTTTTAACCTGTTGAAGCGTTTATACTCTACAGTACATGTATACCTTGTTGAATACCATACATATTTACATAATTGGATCAATACAATTGACATGCTAAGTATTTTAAAAAATCATTACGTAACAAAATAATTTGATAAGGAGACGTGTACTAAGTTTATATGAAAAAATCCGGTAACTTCACAGTTCTCCTTATCGAAGTCGAAAGATCAAGTCATAAACGAATCGATTATATGAAAGTAAGGAGATGTGATATGATTGCAAATGAGATACCTACAAGAGATCCCATGACGAGAATATAAACAACTATATGTCACCATACGACCTATGCCTTCATAACATTGTGAAGTATAAAATGAGCTGCGTCGGATAGAAATCGACCTTATGCAAATGAAAATCAATACATCTGTAAACCCTTTGCAGGTTGAAAAAAATTCTATGCAAAGGCTGTTACCGTTTGAAGATTGAGCTGTTATAAGAAAATCTACAAAATAGACCAAAATTCGTCTTTTATTACGTATTTGAATGTTCCAAAATCAATCAAAGTCTTATACATGTACATGTATACCTGGACTAGCATAAGGTCGATTTCTATCTGACGCAGCTCAAATGTTCTTTGATTTCAATGAAATTTAACTTTCATCTGTCTTGCTACGATCATAACTGTTTTGTTCTTTTAAACCTTTTCATAAATTATATCCTCATGAAATCGCTGAAATGTTATTTTCTATATAATATATAAACCCCTGTAAAAATAGTTCATTGGCATTCATTTTCGAACTTGTTTACCTGATGTAAACTTTTGACACAAATTTCATCTGACAAGAACTGTAGGCTTGAGAGCGCTTACAATGCAATTGTCCAAATAATTCATATTTCCAAGGGCATAACTCCTATCTAAATAGTTGATCGGCACTGATTCCCGAAATCTGCAGAGACAGAGCTGATATAAACCTTGTTTAAAGATTTGTATACTAATCCTGCAAGCAATAAGGATTTAGAGCGCTTACAATGCAATTGTCTAAAAAATTATATTCCCAATGGCATAATTCTTTTATTCAAAGTAATCTGAAATCACTGATGGAAAGATATGAAGAATTGTGTGTATAATTTCAATCATATTTTACTCTTCCATTGCAGTGATGGTGGACAAGAACAACTTGCTATAGCACTATTGCATACTTGTATCTGTTAGTTACATTACTGCAGATTTGTAAAAAGATAAGCAATTTTCCAGTGTAGATAAAATAGCTTAATAAAAGTAATTGTCGGTGGGTCAATAAATTTCCATAATAACTTCTTTTAAATTGCAACTTAATATATCATATTTATACATTTTGATACAGAAGAAATTATGTAATAAAAACAATTATCATTTAAGTTTCTTAAAGTAAACATGTGACCAATCGAGAGACTTCAAATTATAAAGTCCTTTTTTGATCTCCCAAAATTTACCTTGAATGGTTGGTGTTTTTTTTATTGGGGGTGGGTTGGGGGTTTATATGATTATTAGATGACATATTATGTTTAATTATGTTCTCACTCCTCAGGATCCCCGGATGCCTTATTGAATTTGATAAAAAAAAATAATAGATCACACTGAAGATGCATGGTTGTAGGTTGGCAATGGGTAATTTTCACATCATTTAACCTAATATATAGTTTAACTTATATTGTCCAAAGATGGAGAACTTTAATTTTTGAGGCAAATTCTTTTAATATTTTAATCTTAGAAGCTTCACTGACATTTAAATATCTTATGACATAATGGAAAGAAAGAAAAATGTTTAAAGGATTTTTATTGAATTTGATTTCATGTTTCCCAGATTAGGTTTAAGACATTTATCTTACTCTTTGTTAAAATGAGGGCAAATATTTCATTGTATTTCCTGTATTAGAATATACACTTACCTTTACTGATAAATGTAACCTAAATTTATATGGAATAAATACATATTATTGTTGCGCAGATTTTGCAAGGAAATTAGACCCTACTTTGAATATTTACTCATACGGATTTTCTTTTTTGGCCTTTTCTTTTAAAAAAATGCATTATATTAATCCTGAATCAATCATCTTTGAGACAAAATTTACAGATCTTTTATTTAATGCATTGTAAAAGATTAATTCTATCATCTGTATATAATTTTATTAAAGAAATGCACATTTAATAAAATGTATCAATTACACATGGAGACAGAGACCACGTGTACCTAATAACACTAACCTATATAGACCAAACATCTATCTGATACAATGAGGTCCTGTGTTGATTGATCTGCCATGTCATGTATAAACTCAATAGTTATGTCATATTGGTCAATTACCATTGGCATTAAAGCGGAGTGGTCTATATATATATATAATACAATTCCAATTATCGCCCCACCCTTTGTGTTAAATTGCATGTTCCTTGATCATGACAATTGTCAAGCATACTGATATTGTATCAATACTCTAACTTAATTAAAAAAAAATAGCCAGTAAATTGAAAAATAGTACGGACTATAATTGTTCATAAAGGAAAACTGCTTTAAATTAAGATGTAAGCATTATTTTTACAGTTCATTTGTGCATATGTACACCGACATGAGAATAATTGAGAGCTGTTTATCAGTGTGTAAAGATATGATTACTGAATTAGTAGCTAAACGGTCTACTTTCTGTTTGTGAGGCCGATGCCTTAGGAAAGAATTGGAACAATAGTTCCAATCTTTCCAAAAATAATTGAATGGCACCGATTCTCGAACTCATCCGCAACATTTCTTATATAAACATTTGATACACATTTCATAACAATCTGGCAAGAATTGCACACAAGACCGGACGGACGGATGTACGGACGGAGGGACGTACGGACGAACAAACCGCGGAGGTACGGACGCCCGGTATTTCTATCTACGGGGAACCAAAATCATGTGTAGATTGGGAGATTGAAATTTGTTTGCAATCCATCGTTAAATTATCACAAATGCATAAGTCTCAGGGGCTTGTTTAGTGGGTCAGACGAGGTTTTACTGTCAATGGCGGTCGCTATATATAAAAACAAGTTGCTTTCTTTAAAAAAAAGAAAAGCAATACGTGAACCTAAGACCGCTGACTGCCGCGTCACCAAAAGATTGTTGCTGAATTTGTGTTTGCTTTTGAATTGAAATAATTGACTGTGATTAGAAGAAGTCAGTTATAAGTGTATATTTACATCTACTATTTGAATATACATTTTAAAGCTAGACTATTTTATTTAGTACTTGGGAATGTACATAATTTTCCTTTTGCAAATCCCAATTTCTACAAACCGGATGACTTATGCAAATTGCACAAACTAATCGCAATATAAATTTATGCACTCAGTTTGCTTTATAATCTGGAATTCTACATGCATTTATTTTATATATCATATCTTTATATTTTGCTTCCTGCATGGACCTTCATGTTCTCAACTCGTTATTGAAGCTGTCTGTACTCATGGTAGATGTTAATTGTAAAGATAAACCTAAAGTCCAATTTCCATGTGCAATGAAACCTGTGGCATGCAACTGATTGGGGCATCTTATAAAGAGCCTTTTTTGGGTCTAATAAAACATCTCAATTTTAAGGATTTCCCGATTTTACTTAAATCAATTCAAATATTCTACAGGGACACTTGGTTTTGCCGAAGAATATATTAATTCAGAAATTGTATGAATACCTGTACATACCCTCAAAATAACCAATTAATATTAAAAAGGTATGTAGATATAAAAAGATACCAGAATTAAAATGATGTTCGCCAGACGCCAGTCTACAAAAAAGCATCAGTGACACTCGAATGAAAAAAGTTAAAAGGCCTAATAAATTACAAAGTTAAGGAATCTATTCCTTGGGTAGACAATCCTTAGCTTTTCGAAAAGGTCAAAGTTTATTATAGGACAGTGACTCAAAAAAAAAAACAAAAGAGAAACAGCTAGAGGTCACAATACCGTAAGTAATGATGACCGTGCATGAAAGTCACATGTCAATCTCTTACAGCCGTGTCCTAAATTTAGATAAGAAAAACGAAAATGCGCATTAACGAGTGAAATTAGTATTATTGGAATTTTTGAGAACACAAACCGATAGTGTGCGTTTGAAATGTGATCTATAATGTGAATGAATCAAGACGTGTAGGATAGTTGGGCAACACAGTGAATACAATTTTCAAAACCGTACCATAGTACAAATTGTTGATGTTATAAGGTTAAACTATTAAAAAAAAAATAGAACTGAAACTTTATAATAAACATACGTTCCTGTTAGTAATTTTTTTCCGAAAATTTTTAATATATATACATGTAGTATCAATAAACACAAACGTCAAGTATTTACGGACGGACATTTTATTTATGAAATGAATCTATTTTTAAATTCTACCATTCCACTATATGAATAGATTACTATACAAAATATAAGCAAAGACTTATAAATCCATACTAAAACAGTGCAAAAAAATTAACATTGTGATAGTACTTAATTGAATTTTGATATGATTATTGTAAATTATTATTACGTTTTTTTGTGAGCTGCAAGGATTTAAAATCTTTGTGAATTGAAAACACACAAGTATTTTTATTCACGACCGTTTAAAATTTCAATATTTAATTAATTTATCTTACTTTCCGTTTTATGGATATATTACAATACAAAAAAATTAATAATTACTTATAAAACCTTACTAAAACGGTAGGAAATAATAACGTAGAAATATAATTATTATTGTTTATCAACATTTTTTTTTTATGATGCAAGGATTTATTCAGATTTAATTATTATGCATGTTTCATTTACAAATGAATATTTAAAAATACCAAAGCAGAGTATCTTGTCATATAAATACTTATTTCTTAATTGCAACTCTGAGAATATTCTGACTTCAATTTAATATTTAGTTTCTACAGAAACATAAATACAGTATATATTTTGTATATATTTCTTTGATTTCTATTGAATTAATTAAATTGAATACTTTTTGATAATAATATTATCTTTCTGTTTTCCGATCTATTATACACATTTAAACCAGAATGATCTCTCCTTAGTCTATGATGAAAATACACACGTGGTTAAATCTTCAGACATAATTACTTTACATGTTACCATGACAATGCACAATACCACGTTATAATTGACCTAGATACACACAGTGTACAGGGGCCGTTTTAAAATAAATATAATTGCGTTGTCATAATACTTGTTTAGAAACTTTCACACCAAAGCGCTTATAAACATTCACATTATTAAATATATATGCGTGAACCCCTCAGGGGTTTCATGCAAAAATAATGATTACGACCGCCATTGACAGTGAAACCTCGTCTGACCCACTAAACAAGCCCCTGTGCATGAGTGATCGCATTTCCATATAAACATACCTGTTACGTAATTGTATAGAAAACCGATAATCCTGAGCAGAAATGCACTGTGTTGAACTATACCTGTTGGTATTCTACTCAAAGTTAGAATAATGATTGTGCGGCGGGTATCCACATAACTATATTTTACCTATATGTCCAAGTTTTAATTATACATATTTAATGTGCTTTTGTAATATCGATCCTTCTTTAGTTCTTTGGCATTGTCGCTTATGTCTTTATTTATTTTTTTTATTCTTATGATCTTTGATATTGTAGTCTTTCCGAATTAGCACGGTGCGATTGATCGCTCATCAAAAGTTCGAAATTTAACATGAAGACAGTTGCGGATTAATTGGATAATACAGCGGCGGATCCAGGGGGTTCGGGGTTGGACCCCCCATTTTTGACAATCAATATGCTTTTGAATGGGGACATATGGTAGGACCCCCCCCCCCCCCCCTTTTATCCTGGGTTGGAACCCCCCTTTTAAAAATGGTTGGATTCGCCCCTGTAATATATAATTTGTTATCATAAATCGTCCAAAAAAACACATTACTACATAAATGACATCTTGGGTTGCTGTCTTAATTATTGATTTGTACCCCACGTCTCCTTTTATTTTATTCTTAATGATTTAGATATGCTACGTCATGCCACTTCTAACTACTGTATCAGTTTACGCCTGTCACGTGATTTTTAAGAAAAATCATAACCGAATTGACAAATTAATTTGTTCTACTCCGAGTGCATATAAAGAACGTTAAACCGTATTATGGAATTACACTGCAAATGTGTATCCTTCATGCATAGCCGTATACATGGTATAGTAAAATCAATAGATAGTTTTGTAAACAAACATTTGGCGTCCATTCATTGCTATAATTATATTTCTAACACCTCCTCCATTTCATAAATTATTACATCACTCATTTTACTAAAATTGATATATGTACGTTCTAGCATGGTTGGCTCAGAAAGTATTAATTTATTCCCAACCCTTTGGAAACCATTTATCGTGCTATTATCCGATAATTATTGTATTGTATAGTTTTGTCCTTTTTTTTTTTAAATATTAATAACACAGAAATATTATACTTAAACTGGGATTGGTCATTAAACAAAGTATGTTTATAACCGTGAAATAATTTACGCTACATGAATGACATGTTTTAACTATGAAAGATAAAAGAAATTGACACATGTATGTACTCAAATATTCAAGTTAATTGACTTACAGGTTTCTTTTTATAACAAATACTCTGATATAAATGCGTCATTAAAAATTATTTAAAAAACACGTTTATTATGTTAAACAAATTGCATACCTATCCCGACCATTCACCTGTATTTGGAAAGTCGTTCAAATCAGTTGAATGTCGTTTAAATCAATGATTGAGATACGGAAGTAAACAAAACAAAGACATACACAGTACGAGAAAATAATGTACATGTTGTATCATAAAAATTAATGTACATCGTATTATATTTATGGGTATAAATGAAAAAACACAAACCTTATTGATTTTTGTAGTTGACGTACGTGTATGTTGTAAACAAATGGGTGGAATATATAAATTATGGTGTTCTTTTTATAGAAATGGATCAGCTGCGCATGATCGATTCATAAGTCATTGGTCTGTGATGAAACTGAAGTGGAACGGTCTTTCGCATTATAGATGGGGCTCTTGAAGGGTTAACTAGTTGTACGTGATGTTCATATAAACAACAGTAGTATTTTACATACACTTTTTATTTGGTGCTATTTACTACAACTATTGTTAGTCAGAGTACATTAAAAGCACCGATCATTCACTTTTTATTGGGGTTTAAAAAATATTATTCGATCAATAATTTTTATTCTTTCTTTGAATTTAAATATTTGTGCCAATAAGAAAAAAAAAGTTCAATAAAAACAAGATTTTTTGCATCCAGTTAGATCCAGAACCTCTATGACTGGGGGAAAAGTGGGAGGGACAACATAAAACAAACACAAAAAAATAATTGTACTCATGTGTATGGTAAAAGAAACAAGAAACAAAAAATCATTTATGTTATAAAGTTGGCCTTATTAAAAATAAAAACGACATTATAAAATGTTAACTAAAAATGCATCGACCTTTCATCTGATGAGGCGGGTGGGGGCATTTTTCAGTAATTGGTTCTAAATTTCTTGAAAAAAAGATGTTTCAGAAGGGAAGTGTTAATACTAGTTTGTTTCCATTACAATGAAGTGTGTGTGTGTGTGTGGGGGGGGGGGGGAATGGGGGGGAGGGGGATGTAATATGACATTGACTTTCAAAATAGTTTGTCCCGAGAAAAAAAACATGCCCCTTGCATTCCCGAAAGAAGATTTAACATGCAGTTCAAATAAAAGCCTTTGGTATCAGACATTATACATAGTTGGCATTATTTAATACATTCAAAAAGTTTTAATAAATCCTGCTTATCATCACCGCTGTGGAGATTCAAATATCACATGACATTGAATGATGAGTGTTAATATATGCATATATATATAACGAGCAACTTTCTTCGAAAAAAAGAAAAGGAGCACGTCAACCTGACAATCTGTTTGGTTTGAAATATACGAATAACATATATATATATTCCTAACATCACTGAAGAGACATTAATTGTCGAAATCCGGATATGGTGTACAAATGTTTGCACCTCATGTTTGCGGTATACCATCTTTTCCGCAAGTTTTTTGTTTTTTCTATTTGGTATTAGATTAAAATTAAGATCCATTTTGTTACATCTGTGATCCGTTTATTTGGCAATCGCCATGGCAGTCAGCAGGGTTTAAGAACATCCGTTGTTCGACCTGCTAGTCAAATGCGTTTTGTTAAAATATACTTTTTCACTTTTTGGTCTTTTGGAAAATGTTGTTTGTGCTGTATTTAGACCCCTTTACCAATAAATTTGTTTTGCATGAACACGTATAAAATTGCAGTTTTTATCCAACGCAATCATAGGCTTGAACGTTGTTTTCAGTTTAGACTTGTTTATATTTTTTCGTTTGGGCTTGTATTATATTTGCCTTCGGGTTTATATGATCCGTTCATCCTATTTCGACTCTTCAAAATTCAAGAGTCAATCCCAAATTGAGGTAAATTATATGGCCTTCCAAATACCTTTTCGATTCCTAACATCACTGAAGAGACATTAATTGTCGAAATCCGGATATGGTGTACAAATGTTTGCACCTCATGTTTGCGGTATACCATCTTTTCCGCAAGTTTTTTTGTTTTTTCTATTTGGTATTAGATTAAAATTAAGATCCATTTTGTTACATCTGTGATCCGTTTATTTGGCAATCGCCATGGCAGTCAGCAGGGTTTAAGAACATCCGTTGTTCGACCTGCTAGTCAAATGCGTTTTGTTAAAATATACTTTTTCACTTTTTGGTCTTTTGGAAAATGTTGTTTGTGCTGTATTTAGACCCCTTTACCAAGAAATTTGTTTTGCATGCACACGTATAAAAATTGCAGTTTTTATCCAACGCAATCATAGGTTTGAACGTTGTTTTCAATTTAGACTTGTTTATATATATATATATATATATATATATATATATATATATATACAATTTTACAGATCTAACATTGTTAGGCTGTTGTTTAGACGAATTATATATATACAGAATGTATTTTCAGCCTTGTATCACCATCACTGCTGGTGATCCGATGGATAAAATCTGTTGTAGAGTCGTCACTGATTCACGCAGACGTACTTATAATATAATTATATCTGTGACTGCATCTTATATTAACTTGTAGGATCCTTTACAATAGATAATTCAGCCGATCTGTAACAATTCCATCTCCATACCTTATATATCATGTACTGTGTTACGACGCTAGATAAAAACTGACGAGGAAAGGTAACACCCGGCCACCGAAAGCTTTATTTTTATAGAGCCTAGGTGGTCGAGTGGTCTAGCGCGTCGGGCATAGTGCAAGGCGATTTGGTGCCACGATATAATCCCGGCCAGGGAAGAACAAAAAATTTGCTTCCGCAAATTTACAGATCTAACATTGTTGGGCTGTTGTTTAGACGAATAATATATATATATATATATATATACTTATATATATATATATAAGTACGTCTAATTTTTGCACCTTTTGTTTGCGGTATACCATCTTTTCCGCAAGTTTTTTGTTTTCTGTTTGATATTGAATTAATATTTAAGATCCACTTTGTTACATCTGGTGATCATTTTATTTGGCAATCGCCAATGGCAGTCGGTAGGGTTTAAGAACATCCGTTGATCGACCTGCTAGTCAAATGCGTTGTTAAAATATACTTTGTCACTTTTTTGGTCTTTTGGAAAATGTTGTTTGTGCTGTATTTAGACCCCTTTACCAAGAAATTTGTTTTGCATGCACACGTATAAATATTGCGGTTTTTATCCAACGCAATCATTGTACAGGAGATTTGGTGTCACGAAATCTCAGTAGCACGAGTTCGAATCCCGGCGAGGGAAGAACAACAAAATTTGCTAAAGCCAATTTACAGATCTAACATTGTTGGGCTGATGTTTAGACGAGTTGTATATACAGAATGTACACAGTCATGTATCACCATCACTGCTGGTGATCCGATGGATAAATCTGTTGTAGAGTTGTCACTGGTTCAAACGTACTTATATATATATATATGTATATATATATATACAAGTCTAAATTGAAAACAACGTTCAAACCTATGATTGCGTTGGATAAAAACCGCAATTTTAATACGTGTGCATGCAAAACAAATTTCTTGGTAGAGTGGTCTAAATACAGCACAAACAACATTTTCCAAAAGACCAAAAAAAGTGAAAAAGTATATTTTAACAAAACGCATTTGACTAGCAGGTCGAACAACGGATGTTCTTAAACCCTGCTGACTGCCATGGCGATTGCCAAATAAACGGATCACCAGATGTAAAAATGGATCTTATTAATTAAATACCAAACAGAAAACAATAAACTTGCGGAAAAGATGGTATACCGCAAACATGAGGTGCAAAAATTTGAACACCATATCCGGATTTCGACAATTAATGTCTCTTCAGTGATGTTAGGAATCGAAACGGTATTTGGAAGGCCATATAATTTACCTCAATTTGGGATTGACTCTTGAATTTTGAAGAGTCAAAATAGGATGAACGGATCAGACGTACTTATATACAAGTCCAAATTGAAAGCAACGTTCAAACCTATGATTGCGTTGGATAAAAACCGCAATTTTTATACGTGTGCATGCAAAACAAATTTATATATATATATATCGTCAGCTCTCCAACACTAAATTTTATAAAGAATTAACATGTGATCCAACGAAATCAACAAAAAAATTAATGACGTCCTCTCAGAAATGAATAAAAATAAACAAATTGATGACGATACGTACGATTATCTACGCCCAGACGAAACTTGCACAACCGGTCGATTTTACATACTTCCAAAACTCCATAAAGAAGGGATTCCAGGGAGACCTATAGTATCAGCTAATGGCCATCCCACCGAAAAAATTTCAGAATTTGTTGATTACCACCTTAGACCACATGTTAGACAACTGCCATCTCATATTCAAGATACAACTGACTATTTGAAAAAAATGAATTCCTTAAGTCCTTTACCTAATGACACAATTTTGGTTTCGATGGATGTGTGTTCTTTATACACAAATATTCCAAAAGATGAAGGAATAGCCGCGTGTGAAAAAGTATGGAACACTCGAAAGGATAAACATCCACAAACTGACTGTCTAATTCAATTGCTCAAGCTAGTGCTTGAAAATAACAACTTTATTTTCAACAAGCACTTTTTACAGATTGACGGAACTAGTATGGGAACAAAAATGGCACCTTCTTTTGCCAACATTTTTATGGGGGATCTTGAAGAACGCATCCTTTTGAGTGTGCCATACAAACCCTTGTCATGGCTCCGTTTTATTGATGATATTGACATGAAATGGAACGATACTGCAGAACATTTACAAGATTTCTTAGATCATTGTAATCAGTTTCATCATTCAATTAAATTTACATCTGAATTTTCAAGCGAGAAAATTGCTTTTCTCGACACCACCACATTTGTAAAAAACGGGGTCATTACAACTGATCTCCACACAAAGAAAACTGATAAACACCAGTTCCTTTCTCCAAAAAGTTGTCACCCGAAACACTGCTCCAGGAGCATACCTTACAGTCAAGCCATCAGACTAAAGCGAATTTGCTCCTCGGAATCCAAACTCAACTATCGTTTGGGACAACTAAAAAAACAACTAAAATCAAGAGGGTACAAAAGCAAAAACATCACAGACGCTTTTGATAAAGCCCAAGAAAAAGATCGAGATATCCTCATGGAATACAAAGATAAGACGACCCGCGCAGATAGAATTCCGTTTGTTGTCACCTTCCATCCCGATTTGACAAATATTTCATCTACTATCCGCAAGCACTGCCGTTTTATCGAAAATGACTCTTCCTTAAACGAAATTTTTCCATCACCTCCTGTTATTGCCTATCGCAGACCCAAAAATCTCAAAGACATACTTGTCACATCTAAAGTACAGAAACAAGAGACTTCTAAAATTGGGTGTTACAAACAATGCGGAAGAACCAATTGTAAGTGCTGTAAAGTCGCCAACACTGACTACTCTTTCAGCAGCACAGTAACAAAGCAGCGATACAACATCTATGTTACATCTAATTGCAAAACGGAAAATAGTATTTATATTCCTACTTGTGGAACTTGCAAGCTGCAGTATGTTGGTGAAACAGAAACGAAATTCAACATCAGACTTAACAATCACATGTCTTTTTATACAAAAGGAAGAAACTGTCCAATTACGAGACACCTCTTAAGAACAGGGCATACTTTTGAAAATATCACCTTTCAAATAATTGAGGTAAACCAAAATTGGACTCCCAAAGAAGAAAACAGAGAGAAAGGTTCTGGATGCATCAGCTACGTACTCTTGAACCTGATGGACTTAATGAGAGAGATGAAAAACAGTTCTACCCAAAACCAAAGGAATAAATCCTGAACTTCATTCTATTTAACTAAAACAACTATTTGTTTTGATTTAAGAATTGCTTTGTACAATAAGCGGCAAAAATATTTTTCTAGACAATTTACAAACATAGATTTTTTATAGAACATCAATAAATTTTGTTAAACTTTTACTCAAATTTTGTGTAGTTCAATCTAAAAATAAGCGGCAAAAGTATTTTTCTAGACAATTTACAAACATATATTTTTTATAGAACATCAATAAATTTTGTTAAACTTTTACTCAAATTTTGTGTAGTTCAAGCTACAAAAATATTTTTTTGTCATGCATCCGATTTCACCTTGAGAGATGCACAATCCCGATGAAGCTAATTTGTTTAGCGAAATATTGCGTGAATGATATAAAATATAACAACTAATTTTATAACACTCAATAGTGTGTTAAAGTTACATTCTTAGGCACTTATATATATATATAGATATATATATATTTGTGTATGTCTGCCTATGTGTAGTGACAACTGTAAATTATACCTTGTCCATCGGATTTCTTATGATTAAGAAATACTAGGCTTTAGAATAGTTATGCCTTTTTTCGGAACTATGCCTTTTTTCGGAGCTATGCCTTTTTTCGGGGCTATGCCATTTCTATATTGTAAAACTAATTGCATATATTTTTGTGTATGGTTATTTGTTCTTTCAAACTTTTGATCTCAAGCACTTAAGACGAGATTTTAGAATTAAAATTGTATGCATATCTTAGTGTATCAAATGGACAATGTTCATGTATATCTTAATACAGTTATGCATATGGAGCACAATATCTAGAACAAAAGGGGCCTTTACAAAAGATACAGGGTCATGCTAAAAAATCGAGATATACACATGCAGCAGTTCGTCCGATTTTTTTATATAAAATATTGCATGGAGAAAAGGGGGTAATTGATCTTAGAAAAATTGCCTTGCAAATATATCTATTTCACGGAATTGTGCATCCTTTTTCTTTTTACAGGTCAATAAAGAAACTCAAATTTGCATTACCAGTTAATTCATTCAAAAGAGCCGCTGTTCTTTCGGCATACGTCGACGAAAAGAGGGCAATGGAATCTATTGAAAAATTCCGTTCATCGATTGAAAAAGAAAAGGTAGAGACATCTGCCATCAATAGCATCAAAGAAATTATCACGTCTGTTAAACACAAAAGAAAAAAAGATGTAATAGCAAGCTTAAAATTAGCTACATCTGCTGTCAGTGGTCCTAAAATAACTAATAAAAAAGGGGCAGTTAAAAGTTTAGCAAGTAAGTTAGGCGTTAATCGGAAAACAATCAAAAATGGCAAAACCTTCAGAGCGAAAGTTCTTCATTCTGGAAAATCCTCTTTTTTATATACACCAAGAAAAACTAGGCGTATATATATATTTATTAAGAAACTACCCCTTTACAACGGGGGCACTTGCAGGCAGGATACCTGTAAATGCGTCTAAGTGCATATACAATGAATAATGTACAATGAAATAAAATACACACAGGACAATATCATAGTTAAAAATTGATTCTCTTTAAAACAAGTCAACTTTCATGTAAAACATAACAGCATTATATATTAAGATAACATCTCAACATTTAGAGATCACATCAATTAAATTGCACACGCAAATCACAGTTAGCTTAATTTTCTAAACTCGAAGACCTGTAAGTGTACATTTCACTCAACATCTTTTTACTAAAAGTGTCAACATGTTTACAAACATTTGGATCAACCTTATAGAAATATTCACCTAGCAGCATGTTTCGTAGGACGGTAACTCTGTGAAGCAAAAGTCGGTGAAGTTAGTACTTAGGTACTCATTTATATCGGCAAAATACTTAATTCGTATAGGGGAATATTCAGAACAAGTCCGGCAATTGTTCGTATTCTGTTTATGGCTCCTTACATGAACTTGTTGATGCAACATTATGTCCCCGATCTGCCAATACGTACCAACATAAAATGTCTTGTTTGAATCGGGAATGTGCGGAGCTGTGTGGTGTTGACAAACTTGACTTTTTACCAGAGGAATTGGACAAACAAGGAGCGGTGGAGTTCTCATGGGAACGATATGAATATCAAAATGTAAAAAAAAGGAGACAAAGTAGTAAGAAAGCTTGTTTTGTAAAGAAAAGCTCTATGGCATGTGACATGTTTGATAATATGAAACAATTACTTGAGAATTTTCTGTCCCACCAAATTTAGAGTTTACTGGCAGTCAAAACAAATGAAAACTTTGATAAACAATTTACTAGTCACGCATTGTGTTGCAGTCCATGATTTCTCCGAAAACTATAAATGCACAGAACAGTGTGAAATCCAGTCTTCTTTTTTCCAAAAACAAGAAGTTTCTATTCATGTGGCAATTTAACATAGACACGCGATTTTGGAGTATGACGGAATAGATAGTAATGAAAATCACCCAAACATTATTACAGAACATTTTTTTGTAATCAGTCCGGACCAGAAGCATGATCACCATTTTACACATGAGATTCAGATGTGTCTGTCATGCACGAGTTTACCAACGGGTGTAGTGCCCAGTACAAAAGTCGAGATATCAGTTATTGATGTTCCGATTTAGGATATGACAAAATTGTTAGGAATTTTTTTGAAACTTCACATGCTTGTGGACCTCAAGATGCAGCCGGTGGTTTTATAAAAAGCAAGCCGACTTGTCTATCATCCGTGGGCAGCGTGTGATACAAAGTGCACGAGATTTATATGACTTTGCATCAGAAAATCTTTGCAAAACTGCTGAGGATTCGAAATGTTCACGTAAGATTTTTTGATATATAGATACGATTTATCGAAACCGTGATCGATATTTCAAACCCGTAAAAGAGAACAGAAAAATTCACCAGGTATGTTCTTCGAAATCAGCAACATTAGAAATTAGAAAGCTGTCATGCTACACGTGTGAAAATTGTTTAAACACAGATTACAATGATTGCTTGAATGTTGATCAAATTGGTAACTTCTCAATTTTAAAAATTAATAAGGAAAACGCTGATCAGGAATCAGAAGATGAAGAAATCGCCGATGAAATTGAACAACTCTACGACCTTGTTTCTACCGGCACAATTTTTGCCATTTAAGCAGACGATGTTATTCAGCCTTATTATTTAGTAAAAGCCAACAAGCAGATGACTGTTCTACGCAAAGAGTCAACGGACAAATGGGGGATAACCTATCTACCCGGAACAAAAGTAATACATGGATATTATTTTGGCACGGTAAACGACAATCCAACTGAACAAAAACTCATAAAACGTACATGTATTTCCGCTATAGTTCCTGCGCTTTCTGTAGTGTATATATGTTCGGAACTTGAACTTAGTGACGATGTTATAGAGAAAGTCCAAATAACTGTCCATTCCTGGGAAATAATGGAGCGGAGGCCCGGAGGGCCGACGCCCATTATTTCCCAGGAATGGACAGTTATTTGGACTTTCGCTAACTTAAAATACACCTTAAATATTAAGAACGAATTTTAGATCATAAAATTTAAAGAATTTTATTTCATTTTGTATTGGTTTTCTTTTCATTTTCCACATGGTGTACCCAATAATCCACAGGCAAAATTAAAGATCAAGCTGACCATCAACTCACTTAACAAGTATTTATGAACAGTAGAATAATTACTATAAAAAGATCTTGAATAAAGTTCATCCAGATTTGTGTTTTAAATCATTGGATACGCACGTCTTTCTTGTGTTGGGATTGAAAGCATATTTATTTGTGTCTTTAAGTGTTATTTCGGGAGAGAGAATAAACTAATATTTATGCATATTATTATATGTTAATGGATTATGTGTTTTTCGTTTGATAAATCTTGGATGTAGAATCGTCTGAGAAAAATGACATGGTACAACTAAAATAAATTTCCAGGTATGTAACACTCTAGTATATGTTTTTAAACTAATAAGGGTGTAGTCGATTTGAAGTCGTATCTGAAACAAAATATGATTCTATATTTCAAACCATTCTATTAGATCAAATTATTATCAGAAAGATTGCCTTTTGTATGTCTTTAAATTAAGTGGAAAACTACTTTTTGATTTCGTTTAAACATTTTAAGATTAACGCTGTCATTTGCACTACGAATATAACTGTTATATTTGCTACTGGTCATATAACAACAGTGAAGGAATTAGATTGTGTTACGCGTTTCTGTTGAAATTTGAATAAAAAATCCCGCCCAATAGTTAACACAAGCCTTATTCAAATGTTATCCATACCCTTCAAATTCTGTTCAATAGTACCATATTCAAATTATAACAACGAAAAATCAAATAATATACCGAATACGCCATTTTGAGCATTTTAGTTTCTTGAACTATTTATTTTATTTAACCACAATACTATTGTAGAAACTATCTGAGTAATATTTCTTTTTTTTAATGTACATATTAAAATGGAACAAAATCAAAATACAACACTTTAAATTTCAAGCAAATAATATCTTACACGGTAAAATTAAAAGCAAATCTGCAAGTGAAATATATTTTCATTAATTTTCCTTATTGTATAATGTTACTGTGTTCAATATTACGAAAGAATTCAACTGAGTTAACCCATTTGATATTTTGTAGATGCACAGAAGAGGACCGGCACTCAATGGAAAATATTCGTTTTTACCCGCTTGGATACTATCCGTGACAGAAATTTAGCCAAGATGTGCATCGGAAAACAAATTGTGGATAATGTTGTGGAATTTTAGTGAAAACGATATCATATATTATACGATGGAATTACGACTCGCAAATAAAAGCTGTTTATCAATAATGAGATATTTGGTGTTCATTGTATTACTACGAGGTCATCCCAATTAAAAAAAAAATCTCCATTTAATATCAGCCGTTTAGTAAGTTTTCATCTTCATTCAATATCGCGTTACGTCCTTTCGAACTATTTACATGGGTGAACACTTTTTAAGAAAGTGCCAATGGAAATAGCGAAAGGGGAAAACGTCCGGATGAATGAAGATGGACAATAGAAAATAACTCTCCATTCCTGAAAAATAATGGAGAGTTTGAACAAAAGATTTAGGTCACAGGTGTATTTTAAGGAACAATTCATATTGACAATTTCCTCCAAAGAAGTATACTGCGCTGCCTTGATGAGTGAACAGTCAAATAAAAGTTTAAAATATGAGTCAATAAATTTTGAAATACTTTAAATATATCTGTATTTATTTAAAACGGGGAGTTAAGGTCCAATTTCACTTCTTTGTGACTATGATTAAACATGTATTCATGCTCCGAATTAAGCCGTGTATTAAACATTTTTAAACATGAAATGTTAACTAATCACTCCCAAAATCGATGTTCAATAAGTTCAATTCGTCATATTACGAAACTTATGGTATAAAAACAAAATAAGACAATTAACAATAGCCGCCTCGTTAATTACAAATACACATAATCTCAAAATATAATAATTCAAGTAGTGAAAAGGCAGAAAAAACACACAAATAATTTGCTTGCAGACGAACACCGTCTGGTCGTCAATTTTAATTATAAGAAAATAACGTCGTTTAAGTAATTTGAAGACGTTACGTTTGTGGACTCAGCTTTTTGCACGCCGTCCACTGGACAGTATTATGTTGCACAATCTGTCCCGGATGAGGTCTCGGATTGCAGACACGCGTATGCATTAGATCTTTTTTTAGAATCGGAGAACGTGTTTCGTTTTGTGAAGATATCCTGAAGAAAATAAGGGAGTACAAGATTGAAATAAAAACCTATTTCTATGGCAAGACTCCAGAACAATAGCGTTTGCACGAAAAGAGGAATAAATCGTGAAATAAAACTAATCTAAAGTTGAATCAACCATGAGGCAATTGCATATAACATTTCACAGGAAAACGACCGAATGATATCAAAGATACTAGGCTGTATGATTTGTAAGGTCTACTACACCAGAGATCCTATGCACATTCCCAGGCAGGATTTGGGTATGGACTTCCTACCCCAATTTTATTCTTGGAGCATTGGGCTGTTTTCTGGTCTTTGGTCGGGTTGGTGTTTCTTTGACACATTCCCCTTTCCTATTCTCTATTTTATTAAAAACACCACAATAGTAAAAATGGATTAAAGTTTGAAAATATAGCAATTTATACTCTGCTAAAAAAAAAAAAGAAACGCATAGGTCTGATTTATTTTAAAATAAAATATAATGAACAAAAAATTAAAAACATATTTGACAATTAAAAGTTAAGTGATGTCTCATTAAAGATGTATTTAATATACAAGTGCCGGGATTGTAACCGTTTTAATTAATCAAAAACAAAATAGATATTACTAGTGATAAAAACCAATATCAAAGATCTTGCATCGGTGTTAAATTGTCAGATAAATTTAGTTAATGATTTACCAGTCATACGTAGCTTACAAAAACAAATTACAAAAACTTCACTTTACAAGCAGGAGCATAGCAAACCAAGGTATGTTAGAGTACAAAGAATCTATGTCTCTTTCATATTGCAATAGCATGAAACATTTGACTTTTCTACCCTTTACACAAGTATTTCCCTTCCAAACTAAAAGAGAAATTGAAAGAATTGGTCCTGCTTTGTTTGAAAAAAAGAATGGCCAACGTAGAAACAACTTTTGAAATATCTTGCCTGAGGAAGGGATAAATCATATTTTGTTAAAAAAAAAAACCCACTCTGATTCAAACCAAAAATTCTATGAAACTGACAATATCAAGATGCTTGATAATTTGATTGACACACTATTTGTTACGTTTAGAGGGAGTGTTTTTCAGCAAACAGTCGACATTGCAATAGGAACCTACTGTGCTCCTCTTGTTGAACACATCTATTCCATTGAACTTGAATAAAGAATTCACCAGATACAGTTAAGTCTGCCTCATCTCTTGACTTACATTTCGAAAATTGACAACGAGGGTCGGTTGAGAACAAAACTTTACGACCAAAGATATGATTTCAGTTTCCCGATTTTGAACTTTTCATTTCTATGTGGCAACATCCCAGCAGCGTCTGTATATGGATTATATATCTCCAAGGTGATACGTGATCTCAGAGTTCCAAGTGGTGAAGTTGAAATCCTCTCTTTGAAAATTTAAGGGACGATATTACGAGTTGATGGACCGTTAACGAATATCTGTATCACAGATGACAACGGATATGTTCCAGTTGTCTTTACCACAAACCGTCCTCTTTTCTCCGAAGGTGACATAACGAATTAAACTTATCACCGGGTTTGTACTTACATGAGTACACGACAGCTATCACATATGGAGCAGGATCTGCTACCCTTCCGGGTCACCTGAGATCTGACACTTTTTGTTTTTGATGTGATTCGATTTGCTCAGTAGTTAGTTTTCTATGTTTTATATTCTGCTGTTTGTCTTTTGGTCGTTTTTTCCGTTTTTGCCATTGCATAATAAGTTCATCGTCGACTTACAAGTTTGATTATACTTTATGTATCTTCTGTGTCTCTTTTACTTCTAATCAGCATCAATTTTAAAGTTTATTAGTTTTTGAAATTGTTTTCTGTAACTGATATTGGGACGGAAATAGTTGACATTTTAGCAATATTTCTATACAAAGGTTCTTTAACATAAAATGTCAAACCACCTCCACTTATTTACATTGTTATTATTACCTATTAGCATTATAGACATAATATAGATGTTTCTAAATGCACATTAGAATTGTCAATATCATTGTTAAAATTGACATTTTCTTCATTTAAATGAAATAACATTTACATAAATAAATTGTAAAAATATTTTAATGTTTCAACTATTAGATTTGGATTCTAAAAGTAGCTTTGTAGATTATACATTAAGTTACATGGGAGTAATCAAAGTGTGATTACAATGACTTTATCACGGAGACATGAATGTTTTGAATACTGTTGTTAACTAGTTATATAGTTACAGAGAAATGAATTATCATTTTGTTTTCATTTCAGTATTCCTCTTTGTTATACCTCTTCATGGCTCCATTGTCGTGCAAGGTAAGTGCATCTTAAACTTTTAATTCGTTTTTTGAAAAGTACACATTCAATTTGTTAACTACACAATACTAGTATAAATTAACTGTTCTCTTGGGTACTTGAAGTTTTCTTAATTATGCAACACGCTTCCTATAAATAATGCAACTGTTCAAAGCCTGTGAAATATCCATATAGATCGATATCAATGAAACTCTGAAAACAAAAATCGAGATCGGAAACAAAAAATGTGAAATTAGAAATACTTTTCATTTGAATGAGAAAGAAACAGAGGTAACTTAAATTGAAAAGTTTAATTGTGCTGTTTGGTTTGCGGTTTTTTATTTAATCCTGACCTTTTTAAATGGATACATCTAAGTGCGTCTTTGCCAAGTAGAACCCTTATCCGTGGGCATCTTCTTGTATATCTTAATGTTTTGTAATTTAGGAATTTTATTTGTTGTGATGCACTGCAGATTTCTAATTGTCTTTCTCTTAGATTTATCAACAACTTCTTTTGACACATGGCAATCTAGAGCGTGACACATTGTACAGACTCTAGTTTTGTCACCATCATGATTTTGTTCACTGATATGGAATATCTGATGACCACGGATATGTTCTCCAACTTGTAGCATAGTCCCGTTCTCTTTTCGTTGTCATTATCACCGAACTTTTTCTTTCATAAACATCATGATAGGAAGAAGTAAAATAACAAAAATACCAAACTCCAAGGAACATTCAAAACGGAAAATCCCTTATCAAATGGCAAAATCAAAAGCTCAAACACATCAAACGAATGGAAAACAACTGTCATATTCCTGCCTTGGTACATTTCAGACATTTCCTTATGTAAAAAATGGTGAATTAAGCCTGGTTTTATAGCAAACTAAACCTCTCACTCGTATGACAGTCGCATAGAATTCCATTATATTGACAACAATGTGTGAACAAACCAAACAGACATAATAGGAAACAATGTCAAAAATAGGGGTACAACAGTCAACATTGTGTTATAATCTTAATCACTATAACGCAAAACAAATATGTCAACAAAGAATAACAAAATGGCGTATAGACAAAGCACATATTAGCAAAAATGAAAGACAAGAATATAAAAAATGACAATAGCACAATAACACAATAGCGGGATGTATAAGTACCGAGACACGCCAAAAGGATATTACAAAAATGGACCAAACAGTAAAGGTTAATAATTTACAAAGATAAATAAAAGAACACTATAACACAATAATTGTTTTTCTTTCCTGACCATCTGAGTCCCCTTCGCCTTTGGTGCGGTCCTTGCTTCTCAATCTGTAGTTTTCTCTTTTGTATTATGCTGATGGTTGTTTTTCTGTTTGTTTTAATTTTTTGACTTGTGGTTTATGGGTTTCCCCGTAGTAGTTTCTCTCTCTTTTATATATTATTTCAGCATGCCATTGACTTATGGTTTATGGGTATCCCCGTAGTAGTTTCTCTCCCTTTTATATATTATTTCAGCATGCCATTGACTTGTGGTTTATGGGTATCCCCGTAGTAGTTTCTCTCCCTTTTATATATTATTTCAGCATGCCATTGACTTGTGGTTTATGGGTATCCCCGTAGTAGTTTCTCTCTCTTTTATATATTATTTCAGTATGCCAATGTTAGAAAGCTGTTGGGACATCAAAACAACTACTATATATATACCGGTAATATATTGTAGACGTTAGAGAAGAAACGATATGCACACCATGTTCCAGTGGATATTTTCAATGCAAAAACTGCAGATGTATACAATCAAGTTGGAGATGTGACGGGGATTCAGACTGCGGCCCAGATGATACCTCAGACGAAGATGCTTGTCATCTGTGTGGTAATTTTGTTAATTGATAATGATGTTTGCCATAGTGAATTTAGAGGATGCTTATCGTAAGTTCCGATCAGAGAGTGTTTGTTTCTAGAGGGATTATATTCCGTATGGTGTAGACCGACTACATTGACCAGTTAATGTACCAATGTTTTAACATTTAAGATATTTCAAGTTCTCACCATTGATGCATTCTGCAAAATTGTAATATAGTACTAGAATCTAGTTTCAATTTAATATTAAATAGTTTGTTCATAACACTGTAACAATTTATCTCTTATTTAATTGTTTGTGAAGTATTCTTTCGGGTGAAACCATTACGTCAGAGCTCTATTTTGTTCAATTTTTATATCAACCAAATAAATTCAGATTTGTGCAATTGTTTCATAGCTATCTTTTTCAAAAGAAACGAAGTTAAGGATGTTCGCTACTAACTAGCTTTTCAAAACACTGTTATAAATTGATAGTATATAAATAAAGGAAATAAAAAAGCAGAAACAAATGAAAGGTCCGTGTGCTTGTTTTCGAGATATAAGCCATTGAAAATTTTGCGGGAAAAGATTCTCTCTAGATTTTTCATACATTCAACATTGGTACCTTTTTTCATTCAAAAACTATGAAAATATAATAAGGATTTTATAAGATTTTCAAAGATGACATTTTAAACTTTATGTAATCAAATTATGGGAAAAAAAGTAGGGGTTAGTGGGCAAAAAATTGTAATGGCACTCCATGGATAAAACTAGAGGATTCCGAATATCTTGCAAAAATTCAAAAACAAGAGGAGCGAACATCCTTAACAAACAAAAACTGCGTGAATCGCATGAACTAAAAAAGAAGCGAGACCGGGTGCGTCTGCTGCTATACATGTATCACCGCCATACGAAACACACTAATTTAAAATCTCACAATCAAAATAGGACAATCTAGATAAATAAAATTTATACTACACGAGGTTCACTTTTTAATATCAACAAAGAGGATGATTTACATATAGTCGAAATACTTTAAGAATTGATATATTTTGGTAATTTAAATAAAATTAGAAAGTTTATTTTTAATGTAGCAACTTTATAAAACTTGCTTTTATCCATAATATAGCAAAAAGATATCAATTTATCCTCTATAGGTCAATGCTCGGGCTATAGGTGCGAATGTGGGAGATGTATTCCACAACGATGGTTGTGTGATGGAGTTCCGGACTGCTCTGATAGCTCTGACGAGATCCAATGTGAAGGAAAAGGTATGGTAGCTATCAATAATATATTAATATTTTGATAGTGTATAAAAATGTAAGAATTATCGTATTTAAAACTTATTTTTAAAGCAATGTGTGAATCTATATCAATTATAGTTGATTTATACTTGGTAGTTATGTTGGCTACGCCAATCTTATATTAAGTTAGCAATAAATGATTATAAAATATAAAATGATTTCTTGCTTATTTGGAAAATTCAGCATAACCTACAGTATAGTGAAGTACACCCATGTCTTTTATTCATATATAAATGGAAAATCGTGACAGAATAATATTATCAATCTCGCTAACTCGATATTGGAATCATATGTAAAGTAACATGTACATATCAATGCATATACGAACGAATATGAACTTATGAAATTGAAAAAAGCTTCGTTTCCAGAGTATACAATTATCTATTTGCTATGAATATGATGTTGTAACTTATGGTCTCGAGAATGCCGGATGAGTGACATGTGCTGTCAATACTTATAGTTCAACGTATGTTGATCGGTTGTATCCTAATGAACTTAAAGGATACAACAGATACAGTTAAGTTTGCCTAATATCTGAACTAACATCTAGAAATTAACATTAGGGTCGGATGAGAACTAAACTTTACAACAAATGGATTGATTTTCATTTTCAATTATGAACTTTCCATTTTTATGTAGCAACATTCAAGCAGCACCTGTATATGGAGTATATATATCCCAGTTGATACCATATTATAGGGCTTGTGTTTCCTATATTGATTTTCTTGGTAGAGGGTTATATTACAATTACTGATTTCAGGGAAGCTATTGCATTAAGGGTTTCAGGTGGTAAAGTTGGTTGAAGTGATCCATTTGAACGTTTAACAGACGCTGTCATGGTTTAATTGACCGTAATGGAATGTATGTGTCACGTATGACTAGGTTCCACTTGTCGTAATAACAATCCTGTTCTCATCTCCCCGATTATGACATTACCGAAAGCGACTTATTACCAGATTTTACTTGCTTGAGGAATACAATCGATGACACATTGAGTAGGATCTGCTTACCCTTCACAGCATTTATGTATTTACATATTCTTGGATTTCAAATTTGTACGTTAAAGCGTCCCTGTTGAACTTTAATCCAGAACACATTTTTTTTTCTTGTATTATTATTCAGAAATTTTTGTAAATGTGAAGTTTGTTATTGGATAATCGCACTTATATTTCTGCATATTATACAGAGAAAAATACTTTATTGCAGGTGCAATGTCCATGAAATAATCCTCCCATTGTATGCATGTAACAAAACGGTTATATTGATAAACACATCCAGTACAACTTTTGTTAACGCCATCATTGCTAGTGCAATACTGGGGGAAAATTGTACAATAACTGTTGGTTATGTTCATTATGGAACATTAGGTCAATATAACTAATAACATTATATTTGATTGTCGATTTTGTTTTATTTTTCCTACAGACTACTGTGACCTTGATCCAGATAATCACTTCCGGTGTACAGAAAGTGGAAGGTGCATAATCTTGAAATGGAAATGTGATGGAGAGTTTGATTGTGGGGCTAGTGATCAGTCAGACGAAAAAGGATGCTCTCATTTATAAACATAATGTGATGCATGCTTACATCATTGTAGAACATAACCTTAGAATACAGATTTGACAATAGATTTGGACCTACAATAACTAGCGATTCTTAAGTTTCATTTATGAAATACATGAAATGCATTTATCTCGTTTCTTCTTTCTTATAAATTAACAAATATATTGAGAGAATTAGTTCAACTTTGTTTCATAAAAAAACATAGATACAAATATCTTGTTTTCATGGAGTGTAAATTCATTTATTTTCTTTGTACCAATTTTCGTGGATTGAGAAACAATGTACTTTCTTAGATATCCAAAGTCGTGGTTTTGATTACTTTTAATTAAATTCTTTGAACAATTTGTCTTTCATTGGGCATTTAAATTCGTGGTTTCCTTTACCCTCAGATCTACGAACTTTGTATCCCTCGGAAGCTGTATTTGGCAAAACCTTTCCCTTTCGGAATTTTGAGTCCTCAATGCTCTTCAACTTCGTACTTTATTTAGGCTTTTTAACTTTTTTTATTCGAGATGAATATCACTGATAAGTCTTTTGTAGACGAAACGCGCGTGTGGCTTTCAAAGTTTTAATCCTTGTATCTATGATGAGTTTATTCTCATTTTGAAATTGGCAACGGATGTAGGTTTGAGAAAAAAGATTAACGAAATAATTTCAATGTAGCAGCATTCCAGCAGCACTACTGCATATAGTGAATGTATACCTCCCAGTTGAATGCGATGTTCCCGGACTTGTATTTTCTATCATAATTTTCTTGGTTGCTGCTTACAGGGAATCTATTAAACCAAGAACTCACGATGGTAACGCCAAAGTCATCTGTTCGAAGATTTTATGGCCGCCATCATGATTAAGTTGATCATTACGGAATATCTATGTCTAGGTGATCCCTAATATGTTTCATTTGACGAGTTCACATACCCGTTCTCTTTGTCTTGTTGATGTCATCACCAAATGCTACTTATCAACAGATGGTATTTACCATGAACAGTAATTGTTTACCCCTCCGGGTTATCTTAGCCATACCTTTTTTTCTTTGGGATACGTATCACCTAATCATTATTTTTTTTTTATTTTGGCAATGATTTGTGGACTATTTTTGTTGGAATGTTGAATGGTATATAGAGCCTGAACCTTCAACTGGATTTATGCCGATGTCAACAATGGCATTTTTCTATAATATTGAACCTTTTTGATTCTAGTGTTATCTATTTGCACTGATTTGTTCTTTTATTCCTGTGAGACAGACTACATACAGAGGTTTCTCAAGAAGAATAAATAGATGATTTTTACTCGATGATAATTTATTGAAATCATTGACATAAACTTGATTACATATATTCAATATAACACCTATTATATTTTTATTACATTCTTTGCTAAAAGAGTCGATATAAAGTGTAAACACTCAACAGATAGGCTCGCTTTCATCTGACCCATCAGAACAATCGTTAAACGTATCACATGTCCAATTTGATGGAATGCACTCTCCAGAATTACACTCGAATTCTTTGTAACTGCATAGATCTACCGATGAAAACAAAATGTGTAAAGCAAATGCATGAAATGTGCATACAGATTATGTATTACTTGTTATCAGCAAGCCTGGAGAACTGAGACTGAGAAACTTATCAATACAAGATATAACAATGAATACACTCCTGTTTAGTTGAAAAATTTGTAATAATTTCATTGTTTTATATACAGTTTTCAATTTGTTAAAAAAATTGTTATAATATCATTGCGTTTGTCATGTCATTTCTCTGAATGTGTTCAATTGTTAGTTATTCTAATTACAACCAGTACAATCATGTTTACGGTTAAACGAATGAAAACTTGTGTGTTACGTTGTCATAATGTATTAATATTGGTGTATACAAACTCATCAAAGATACCAGGATTAAAATTTTGTACGCAATTTGCGCGTTTTGTCTACCAAAGACTCTTCCGTTGAGCTCGAATCAAAAAAGTATTTTACGCATTCTAATGGATATGAAATTGTACAGCTCAGTGTTCACCGGGTAAATTGCAATTATAATGACTTTTGAAATTAAAGCATTAGTATTAATTATTTCCCAAAAATATTTTAACCGCACAAGTATTTCTATTTAATATCCTTTATGTAAAAAGGAGACTTGTTGTACACGTCATTGCGACATGAAGGAAACAAAAATCTTCAATTTGGAATGCGACTGTATTTCTTACCTGGTTCGTTAAAACGTTAAAACCCAAAGTGTCGGACCATAAATGCGTAGTAATTTACTTTTCAAATACATTTAAGTGTTTAATTTTTTACTATTATTAATAATACATCAAATTACAAACATATATAAAGAGATAACAATTGAACTTCAGTCGTTTGGCTTGAAAAATTTAGATACAGAGCAAAAAGTATTCTCTGTCAATTACTTTTATACAAATTTAATTTTTTTGTTTCAAATACCGCATTATTTATTCTAGCAAAACGCATTCATTTGCGAAAAGTCTGTAACAAAGCAGGATTTCAACCGCCAATTAGTATAATTGTTAAATGCACCTTATTATGCATAAAAAATCACCAACAGATTTCATTGCAAACGGATACTATTTGTTTAATATACCTTGCAATTTAATGATAATAAAGGTAAAAGTGGTGAATACATTTACGTGAATGAAACTGTGAAACTGTGAACCAACGGCACAAAACAAAACAAAAGTCAATTGACGATTCTTATTTATCCCCTCCCCCTCCCTTACATCTGCGGTAATGACTTCATCCATTCACAAAGTAAAAAATGATAAATTTCGAAATTAGTGTAATCCTTCGTCTTCACATACCAAGTATTATTTTGTTCACAGACTTCAATATATACTGCTAAGACCCATTTGGTTATTTATCTCCCTTGTATTCACATCTGGGCCATCGACTATCATCGTTCACAATGGAGGTTTTAACTATAATGATTATATTGATGTGTAACGGTATTTCAGTGGCGACGAAAAAGGTTTTGGAGTATTTAAGTTTTTTTCATTGACTAATAAAACCATTTTGACTGCAAAGATATTGACCAAAAGGCAAATACTCCTTTTGAACATCCTATACCGCGTTTAGCAAACCATGTAGGCCAACCACGTTCTCAATCATAGAACCAATTAGAGACGCCTGGGGAAACAACATACTTTGTATATTAGTTTAACTTAAAGTAAGTATCGGACTCATGTATAAATATAAAATATGCTCCAAGGCGATGAAATATCCCATAAATCTATCGGCTTACCTCCCTTTTACTTGAAAAAAAATCTCAAATTTAAAATGTTCATGTAAAGTATCATTGGCCTTTACAAATAGAGGCGGAAGATAACAAAGGGAGAATCAAAACTCATTAGTCGAAAACATACCAGCAAATACATGACAAAAAAAACATACCAGCAAATACATGACAAAAAAAACATACCAGCAAATACATGACAAAAAAAAAACAAACAAAAAAGACGAGCAACAGTTTTTTGCAAATAAACTCATCAAAGATACCAGGATTAAAAGTTTGTACGCCAAAATACTACATAAGACATTACTCTTATTATATGTACTAGTATATGTAAGTTTCATAAGTCCCATAGGCATAGTCTAAATTGGTTCACCTCTTCGGATGCCTCTCGTTTTACTAACGTTTTACAAAACTATATGTGATTCCTCTTCATCACTGTGATATATGCCAATCATCACATGTGATATAATGATATTATCAATTCAGAAATTGTTGCGGTGTTTTTATTATTGTAAAAAATGCTACAAGATATGTACATGTATTGCCAAAAATAAGAACTATCATCTTAAAAAAGAGGCGAAAGATACCATTCATATTCGTAAATCGAAAATAAACTGAAAACGCCATTTCTAAAAAGAAAAGGACAAACCGACAAACAACAGTACATAAAACAAAAACCAAAAGACCTAGCAACACGAACCCAACAAAAAACTGGGGATGATCTCATGTGTTTCGGAAGGGTGAGCAGATCCTGCTCCATGTGTGGCATATGTGGCACCAGTATTTGGTGTATTTGAAATCGGACTTTACATTACAATACTCCTGAATGCATCCGCAAAACAAGTGTCAGTGAAGTAAACAATGCATGTGTAAGCTCAGCACAGGTAAACAGCAAATTTGAATAAACCCCTACCTAAGGTCCGTTGCATTAGTTGTACGCAGCATTCCTTGAAATCACAAATGTAAATTCTCATTTGTGTCTGCTGTTTAACAATCGCAATAATAAATGCACGTACTATTTGATATACAAAAATTGATACCTTAGTACTTTATACGTACGGGAGAACATTTTCTCTGTCACGACCCCCAAGGGTGACTGGGGAATAGAAGTATGTTCACCATTGGTCTTCCTCCGACCGGCGGTAAAACCCTCGCCAAAGTGGGGCGTCCGTTTGGCTGTGCGGGATGTACAAATTTGCAGCCACGTCCGGTCAGAATGGGGACGTTAAATCCGATGCCTCGTGTAAAGAGAGTGCCACGCTCTTTGCACGTTAAGAACCCTTGCAACAACTCCTTGAGGGGTCCGTAGGTGACCTGTTGTAAGGCTAAATTTCAGTCCCTATCCAATATACCCTCATTTCCCGTGGCAGTCTAAGTTTCTACGACCTCAATCCCAGACGCCTCTATTACAGAACCTACCTATTGTATTTATTGTTAATTTGTTCTCGTCCTGAATATGCATGAAATATTTGCCACTGGACGTTAAGCAACCAACAATCAATCAATCAATCTCTGTCACGTTCCGGATAGAACGTGTATATTATACATTTTTAACATGTTTACCTTCAACAAAACAGTCAGTTTCATCACTGTGATCCAGACAGTCTTGATGTCCATCACATTGCCATTTACTTGGTATACACTTATGGTTATCACATTTGAATGATGATTTACTGCATTCTCCTGTCAAATAGTACAATATTCATGTTGTAAATTTCAAGAACCTAGTATGGTGCGTTGCGCATTTGACTCGGCGTCATATTTGTTTGTTAGCATGCAGTCTATTTGTTAAATGCGAGTTTTCCGCTTTTAAACTTGTCCTTTCTTGGATGATTGTGGGGAAGGGTGAGTTCATCCCTGTTCTTGATATGATATGATGAAGTACATCACATATACACTTAAAAAAGATAGGAATAAGATATATTTATCATTCTTATCAGGATCTGTCTGATCATTTTTGTGTGTATTTGAAATCGGACCTTACATTACAAATCCTAAATGCATCAGCTTAACTAGTGTCAATGAAGTAAGCCATGTACGCGTAAGCTCAGCACAAGCAAAAAGAGCAAACATACATAAATCCCTACCTAATAATTCACTACAATTGTTTTCATCTGTTTTGTCACCTGATCCACAGTCACTATCTCCATCACATCGCCATTGCTTAGGAATACAGGAACCAGACCGTTCACATCGAAAATATCTTCCGGGAATCAGTGCACAGTTATCACCTGGAGTAGACATAAAAAAAGTTATACATGTATGATTGTAGCGCGTATCAAACATTAAACCACAGTTATCACATGAAGTAGACATTTGAAAATTATATGTATGTGGCGCGTATCGAACATTATACCACAGTTATCACCTGGAGTAGACATATAAATGTTGTATGTATGGGGCGCGTATCAAACATTATACCACAGCTATCACCTAGAGTAGACATATGATGGTTGTATGTATGAGGCGTGTATCAAACATTATAACACAGTTATCAACCGGAGTGGACATATCTAGAATGTTATGTATTTGTGGCGCGTATCAAGCTTTATACCAGACAGAAGCATAGATATAACCATGTTGAAATATGGGCCTGTCGTCTGGTAGTTAAACAGCTGTAGATTAGGGCGTCTGTTAGGTTATAAATAAAAAGTCACTGAAGTCACATCCGGCGGTATAATAGAGAACATCATTAACCCTTATAAAAACAAGTAAATAAGAATGATTGCCATTGAGATAACTTTTCGTCACAGACAAAATGACGTAGAAGCTAACAAGTATAGGTCATCGTACGGCCTCATACAATGAGCTTGTTTCTAGTCGTCACAGTTTAAAGATAAATTTCCTCCTGTCGGTGTTTTTTAGACCATGTACAATTGGTAAATTGCAACCCTTTTCTCGCCCTTAATATGCAATATTGTCCCTGCGGTCCGGAAGCAAAAAATGAGAAATATATCAGAAACGTTTTAATTAGAGTGCATACATTTTGTTTTGTTTTCTGTCCAAATCTTTTATTATGTAACTTCTTTCCAATGCTTACGATGATTCATTATTTTATTCGCATCTGGTTAGGAGTATTTGTCACTGGCTGTAAAGGAGATTTCAGAATAAAGCTTATTATCATTCAAGATTAGGTTGATCAGGGCAATAAATGACTGAGAATGTACGTCAATTGCAAATGATTAAAACATTCGTATGACAAAACGTTGATTGAATAGCTATCTCTCCTCGGTTAATTTTCTTCTAATTTTTTAGTACTTTCATTTGATTAGAAGATCTCATCGAAGCTTGCGATTCGGGATTAAGGGAATGTCTTCCGATTAACAAGTTAGTACAATACCTGCAAGTTTACAATTAGCTTCATCCGTATTATCATGTGGTCCACAGTCTCGTTCGCCGTCACATTTCCACTCTAGTGGTATACAGTTACCATTCCTACATCGCATCTGTTTTGTCTTTCCACGTGTCGGACATTCCTCACCTTAAATACAAATTAGAATGAAAAAAGAATATTGAGTATGAATACGTCAATGCGGCACCAACCAAATAACCTCCATCCAAAAAAGACACCTTGAAGTATCTATACAGTCTTCCAAGAACAGGTATTTACCCGAGTCTAGAAATAGACAAAAATGGGGACCAAACTGTAAGGTTAACTCGATCCTAAATATGTATATCATTTTACAATTGAATGTGCAATATGTGTTTATATCCATTTCCAAAATGTGTGTATCAAACATTGTTTAAACATTTCATTACAACACTATATGTTCAAACCTTTAAACCATATCCAAGTGGACTTTGTTTTTTCAAATTAATTACTTTGAAACTTTATGTATATACCTTTACATCAAACGGCGCGAAAATAACTGTGGTATGTTCTTTCCTTATCATATTGTATACGACTAAAATGTTTTATAAAACGATCGTTGACATGGAGTAAACGCAAAGGTTCAAAACCAAAACGAAATATAATTTTGATGGAATATCCATACCTTTTCCTGTCCCAAATGTCAAACTTATGCAAACCAATATGTACAATATATTCCACATGATTTTCAAATATGTCCAACGAGTCATCCACCTTATGGTTAAGGTGTAGTACTAACATTAAAGTTAAACTTCTATTACACATAGTTTTGTTATTAAATGATGAATTCAGATAATCTAATACAATTTTCATAAATGTTAAATAATGCAAGTAAGCTTATCATATCAATTTTGTCGACTCATCATAAATCTTGATGAGCAGTTATTCTAATAACATTAAACCCTTAATTTTATTAAACGGGCAACCTTGATCTTGAAAAACCTTGAACACGCTTTAACTACTCAGTGATGTTGGCCTACATGAAAAGTTAGTGTAAAGTTTCGACTTATTTTTTTCTTTTATTTGTGAAAAATGTTTTTATTCCAATTTTATTGAAAATGTAGGACAAAACCAATGTACTGAACGGGTAGATAAAATTGAGAATGGAAATAGATGTATCTTAAAACAATCAAATGTCCATGTCATGCTGGCTTCTTTTGAAAAACAGTCTTTTCAGTAATTGATGATTTGGAAACCTTATCAGACCGACTATACTTTACACATACAGCAATTTCAAACCAACAAATCATTGTAAAGGGTTATAAAACCAGTTCTTTAATATAAAAACTACCAAATTATTGGATTTTTTGGCGTAACAATTCTCAGACTAGCATACATTGGCAAAATGTTTTTTGGTATGATTTAAAGGACACATATTTTCTCTACATAAAAAGTTCATATCACACTTTCTTTGCATACGCTTCCTGACTTACTTGACATTAGACCCTCTAAAAAGGATAGGAATTATTTTACAAATTTTATGTTGTAAACACAGCCATAAACATTATATTTTTCTTTAATTCATAATTATATATTTAATGATTGTTTTGATTGATTTGATACTTTGATTTTAAAAGCAGCATCTGGCAAATGTTAGAATACCCTACACCAGTATTCAGTATGCATGCACTTTTCCATGACTTTAACAAGTAAGTATTATGTTTTGTCGGTGTTCATTTCATGTGTCAAGACTAGATTATATCAATTTAGGTGTTATTCTATTTTAATATTTTTTGTAGGAACATAACAGTATATTGTACTTCGATATATTATGGTTAGGCAGAGAATAAATCAAACTATAAATCGAAATAAGTTGATTTCAAAAAGATGATGAATCTGTAGTAAAGTGTTAAAAATATAAAATACCACTCGAAAACGAAGGTTTGTTTTTCAAGGCTTACTTACAACGGACCTAGTACGGACCCCTTAAAGGTGTTTTGCAATGATTCGTTAACGTACAAGGAGAGTGGCACTTTACCAACTTTTGATGTAATTTTCTCACAGAGAAAAGTGAGAACCAAGGGTTACTTACCTGAAAGTTGAAATGCTCACTTATTTCGTTGCCCTGGCTTGGTGATAACTTTGACATTTCTTTATTACAGAAAATTTTATATATTTCCACTTTTCATTGCCAGAATCCCATCTTTCTCTCCTCGTTCATGACTTATCACCAGACATATAATTGTTATGAGTAACACGATGGTTTGAACTAATGTAGAATGAACTGTTTACTAGTGGAGCTCATTTTACCCTATCTTATTGGTTTTTCTTATGTTTGGTTGACTATTACTGTTTCCACTTTCCCCTTTTGCCTATATATCCTTTGTGTAGTCTGTCCTGAAATTAGTGTAGCATGAAATGTAGCAGATGCTAATTCTGTTGTCCTATTTTAACCGCTCACTTCGATATACATTTGCACCTTCAGTGTGTGCAATTTCAACTTACATGTTTATATCTTTACATTTACTATAAGCATAACGATTAACTAGATATCATATAAGTCTGACAAAATATATGTCTAGTAGTCAAGGACAATCATAGATGATATCAGAGACCTATTATGATTTTACTTTCCAATACTGGTTGTGGCCTGCCTTAGGAAATAAAGCCAAAGATACCAGACTTAAATTTTGGTATAACAGACACGTTTTTCGTTTACAAAAGACTCACCAGTGTCGATCGATTCAAAACATTTAAAAGGCCAAATCAAATACAAAGTGGAAGAGTAAAAAATCTGAAAATTCCGAGAAAAAAAAGTTGTGCCAAGTACGACTCAGGCACTCTATGACCGAATTTTGAATACTTAAAAATACTATAGACTCTTAATTTACAGAAAATAAACGTATCAATGATATTAAATGTCTTTTTTTAAGGTTAACATAAATTGTTATTTGTATTATCATTCATAAAAAAAGACGAAAGGATCCAAATTGACATGCAAACTCATTAGTCGAAAACAAACTGACAATGCCATGGCAAAAACAGGAAAACGATCAAAAGACAAACAACAGTATAAAAAACACAACATAGAAAACTAAAGACTGAGCAACCCAAATCCAACAAAAACTGCGTGTGATCTCTGTGCTCACGAAGGGTAAGCAGATCCTGTTCCACGAGTGTCACCTGTCATGTGATTCATGTTAATACAAACCCGGCGAAAAGTCTAATTATGTAGGTTACATTCGAAAAAAGAATAACAAGATTGTGGCTACGACAGATTGAACAAATCCTTCGTCATCAGTGAAACAGATATTTCATAATGGTCAACTAAATCTTGAAGGCGTCCGTAAAATTTTCGAAAGGATGATTTCAACTTTATCGCTCTTGGTTAAATAGCTTCATTTTAAGCAGCTATCCTTGTTCAAGGAAATCATGATGAAATGCAAGCTCTAGAATATCTTATAAACTGGGGAAAATGTTAAATGATTTCGAACAAAACAGTGTTATAAAATGCAACTACGGATCATGACAGATCTAGGAGCACGTGGTTACCTGTATACTCTGCATGGTGGCAGGCAATATATGCATATCTGTGTCAAGGACGTACTTTTGACCTATAATCGTTAATTTTTTATACATTGTACCTTGGATGGAGAGTTGTCTCATTGGCACTCATACCACATCTTCTTATTTATATCAACAACAGTATAAATCTTCGGAGAAAAAAGTCAAATTCAGTCCCTGGTTAGATTGAACTTTTTAGCTATCTATTTATTTTCACGATTATTTTTATAGATATATAACAGAACAGAAACCAACCAAATTTAAAATCGGAAAACTAATATCATCTCTGTTGTCGTCAATTTAAATTCTCTACTGAGCCTCATTGACAATTCTTTATGTGTGTTTGGTATCCTTTAGTTTAATGGTATAGATGCATATTCACTATCTTCCTTACTCCATGAGACACGCCCTTTCCGTATGATTTTTATTGCTTGTTCTTATTTTGTGTACTATTGTAACATCACAGTCCGAAGATGAGGAGAGGGGGAGATGGGTTCCATCACAAGTTATGAAATGTTACTTTTTATTGGATGGCATATGGCATGTATACTTTATTTAACAAAAAACGCGCCTCTGTCGTATTAAAATGTAAGTCTGGTATCTTTGGTTAGTTTGTACAGTGAAATAGACGTAACAAAGATTTTTTGAAACTTTATATATACTGATACCGATATCTCGACATACTTTTGATAGAAAAAGACAAATACTCATCAGTTCTTTCGAATTCATTTTACTTTCGGTTGGTATCTTTGATCTTTTTTTTTACACTACCTCTAGAATAGGTAGCTACGAAAAACCTGTGAAAACGAGTTTTAATTACTGTAAAAGACAACTGGGGGGAATCGCATGAACTCAAAAACAGACAAAGGACGTGTCTACAGGGTACTCGTCTCCTGCTATGCGTGTATCATCCGCCTTGTTAATCCACGCTCAGTCAAAATGCCCCATCGAGAATAGGACATAATTTACAAAAGTACAGACCAGACGACTATTCTTGTATCCACATTTCAAAAACTGCTAGTAGGTTTAGACATGCACATCGTATCGGTCAACCAATCTGTGATTGCGACATCAAAACTTAGTGAAGTGTCGATTTCAGTCGTTCTTCCTCATAACACCAGTGTAGCAGTTTTTGTGTAAGAAGTATAATGAAGTCCGTAACATGCACCAGCGCCACAGATTTTGAGATATGTAAACACCGTACTATGGAGTAGAGTGTATGTTTTCCTTAGCAATGGGTTGTTGACAGTTGAACTTTGAAATCATCATGTTTGTCATATACTTTAGTTTGAAGTTGTCCATCTGTTTAAAATATGAAGCAGACCTTTTAGTCTCGGTTGTATCCTTAATGTCACACCCGATAGGATATATAAAATTCAAGCACTTTTTGAATTGTAGATGATTGACAGAACATCATCAATATATCTGACAGAAAAAAAAAGATGTTTCACTTTTAGTCTTTTTGTAGGTTAACAAATCATTAAGAAGATGTTTCATGGAGCACATAAGACTGACCTAGCACTACAACGTGTTCTAAAGATCACTTATATATTTTTGTACATAGGTGGTAGAAGAACCAGTTCTTCATCTATGGTTGGAATTACATCAAAAATAAAGCAAATATTTTCAATTGATTTCTATATTTTGTTCTTATGGTGTACTATTACCAGAAAGGGCAGTATTTGGAGCCAGCGGACATGTGTTCAACACCGCCACATTTTGTATGTGCTAACTAAGTCAGGACCAGGTAATTCAGTGTTTATCGTGTGTTGCTGTATATCATATTTAAAGATATATAACCTGAGGGAATGATCGTATAAAGTACTAGCACTTGGTGTGTACACCAGAAAAGATTTGATAGCTACATATCGCTTTTTAAAAGCTTACTGAGACTAACATATATAACACTGCTGGCAATAGGATAACATCTTAACAATAAGTGCCAATGACTCTTTCCGTGGCTTAAGTCTCAGACAACTTAAATGCGTGTTTCATGAGTTAAGACACAGAAAAAACTTATTCAACAATAATTGTATTTGCAACAGAAAAACTTATGAAGTGTCGATTTTAGTCGATCTTAAATTTTCAAAGCAATGACTAGTTGTGTTTTTTTGTTGTGCATGTGTACTGATTTTGTGTCATGGATGGATACCCCATATCCTTTGTTTTTCTATTTTGTTGTACAATTGAAATTTCTTTGATCTTATTGATGTTTTCAATCT